GACAGGCAGACCACCCGCCGCGCCGGGACAGACAGACCACCCAGCACGCTGGGACAGGCGGACCATCCAGCACGTCCCACCTGATCGACGGCGAACACGGACAGCCGCTCCTTGCCGAGCCACTTGTGGAACTCCTTGACCCAGTTGCCGACAAGGCTGGACGGGGTGACGACCAGCACGCGGCGGACGGCAGGCTCGCCGCCGAACGGGCCCTGCTTCAGCAGCGTCCTGCGCAAGGTCGGGCCGTGACCGGTCAGCAGGCGCTGGCCGCTCCGGCCCCACCACCGCGGCTACCGAACACACTGACCGAGTCCCACGTCCACTACGGCGTTAGAGATGTTCTAACAGCGACTAGCAGATATCGACCGCGGCCTACGCGTTAGGTAAGTCGGGCAGAATGATGAAATAAACTATTTTCAGACCCAACAAACTCACAAAACATTGAAAGGCCACCGTGTGCGTCACCAGACGCATTGACATTGAGAGATCCATCAATGTTGAAAGATCCATCGGACATTGAAAGATCATTTTACATTGAAAGATCCACCGGTGTGCTAGCAGACGCAATGCACAGACAACGGATGGTCCCATCTGACCAGGGTCAATCGCCAAACAGCCGGCAAGCAGCGACTGCTCTCCGCCTCGGCTCGCCGTCCACTGACCAGACGAGCCCGATGCACTGCAGCGTCTTGCCGAGCCCCATCTCGTCAGCCAGCACCGCGCCGCGGCCGAGCTCCGAGGTGAAGCCCATGACGCACTGGTAGAGGAAGAGCAGGCCGTCCCGCTGGTGGGGCCGCAGGTGCCGTGACACGTGGGGTCCACCACCACGTCCACCAGCGGGCGCCCCTCCGAGTTGTGCTTCCACTGGCGGCCGCGGGCGCAGGCGGTGAACGGGGGCCCGTAGGCACAGACGGTGAACGGGGGCCCGAGGGCACAGGCGGTAAACAGGGGCCCGCGGGGCACAGGCGGGGGCCGCGAGGCACAAGGCCGGGCCCACTATCTACGCACAAAGCCTTGGCAGGAGTAAGACATCTTGACGTCTGTTTCAAGGACAGGGATCTGATCAAGAGGTGTTTGTGCATTGGGTCACTGGACACTGGGCGCATGGTTGCCCCGAGCGCACCTGATACTGAGCGGACGGCCGGGGCATGACGAGCGCCCCTGGCGCCCGGATCGAAGCGCGGCTGCACGGGGCCGCCGCCAGGTCGCCGCAGCGCCGCGCCCGCCAGCGGGCTGACGAAGGGCCGTGCCGGCGCCGCCGGCGCCGCGGACGGCGGTGGGCTCCTGCTCTGCCGGCGCCGCCGGGGACGCCGTGGGCGCGAGACAGGTACTCCTCAGCACGAACCGAGTTCTGGATCTTGAGGCAGGTGTGAAGAATGAGGGAGAGAGAAAACCTGCACAAAATGCTGCAGCCGATTCTGAAGTGCCCAACTGAATGGCGCATAAGTCGGTGAGTTGTGAGATTCGGACGGCAATTAATCGCCGTTTGGCCCCAAAGCTGGGCAGCCTTAACGTTTAAGATGATTCTATTCCATCGAGCTGCAAAAGCAGAATCCGCTAGCAAGAGCTCTGTTAGGTCGCTACAATCCACTCTGTTCACTTCATTTCACTCAAATGACTGATTGCCATTTGAATGGAAATAAAGTGAAGGCTGTTGTGATGAAGGCATTGTGAAGGCATTCTGCGGAAGACTGTCGTTGATGGATCCAAACGGCGCAGTGCAAAGGGTGCAAATCCATATTCATTGTACTCGTTAGAAAGCAGCAGAAGTTCCATCAACGCCAGGTTCGATTTTCTCCGATTTGCAACACAAAGTTTCGCAATCAGCCTCACAACACAGCCACATGTCTGACGGGTACTTATCAACACCGGCCGCCGACACAATGCCGACGTCGGTCACTCGGCTGGCAGTGAACGTCAGGACCCTGACCCTGCCGGCAGCGGCGGAGGCCGCGGAGCCGCTCCGACTGCCGCCGGCCAGCGCGCACTGACCTCGACCTCCTTGCCGCCGACGGTCAGCAGGTCACCATCGGAGAGGTCCTCCAGCTCCTTCACCTTGTAGCCACTGCCCTGGCCGATCACCTTCCGCTCCGTGTCCTGAGGCAACGCGGACGCCCTGAGGCGGGTTGGCGCGCCGAGGGCGGTCGCGGCAGCCGCCGGCCACACACATCGCGGCCCACAGTGGCCGTGAGTGTGTGTGTAGCCGCGACACAGTAACACAGCTACGGCTGACAGAGCCTGAGGCGACGAACAGTGCGCATGCACGACGGCGTGCCCTGAGACACCGGTCTTACCAGCAGGACCACGCGCCGGCGGTGCACCTCCAGAACGGCGTCTCCTTCCCATTTCTTGTGCTTTCTGGCCGACTTCTTGCACCATATGACGTCAAAGTACCTAGAATATCCAGGATGGTGATACTTCACCTGCGGTTTATTACGAAATAAGTAGCAAACAGCAGGTAACATTGCAATTGGTCTTGAATGCCACATGTGTTGTTCTGCAACGTGGTCGCACACAGGCACTGCGGAGGGCACGATTGGAACCGTGCGAACGGACCAACACAAATCAGATAATGTCTAAGCAGGTAAATGGAACAATGCTGCACAGCAAAAAAAAAACAGTTGATTCATAACACTTTGATATGCTGAGATAGTAATGATTTATTGCAATGTCATGAGACAAAAACAAGGCAAATGCCTTTTAATCCTTTGAAATACCTGGGTTTATCTGATCCTTCTGCTATGACTGAGTCATTTTCACTCATATTGGTCTGATCTGTGAGCAGCATAGCTTTCTGCTCTATATCTGTAACTTGTGGCGAATTGGTTGCCCCTGGCCGAGATATCTGTTGGTCATCTTGCTGCAGTGATGGTATAGTCATGGAAGACAGGGCAGCAGGAAACTTTTCTTGACTGTGGGTGTTGTCTGTTGTCTGGTCCATGACAGGATGATCCAAAATGCTGAGGATCTCTGTGAGTGGTCGCCTGCATTCTGCCGGTCTTGATGCTTGAGCTTTTGTCTCATCAGCATAAGGCACTTCTGGCTTCTTAGTTTTGACTATTGACACAGCTGAAACACAGAAGTCAACACAGACTTTTACACACCAAATACTGCTCAGAGCAGAAATCATAAGCATGCAACATAACCCCTAAAGATGTGCCTTAATCATAGTACAATAGCAAAGGCATCATGCAAGTTGGATCAAATACAAGAATAGGTAGTGGGTTTAGAAGAAGGATGTGATGTGGTGGTGATGGGTGTTTTGGGGTGCACAGACGGCTATGGTCATGTTGTGCCCCCAGATGAAGGGAAGTTTGTGAATATTCATGTGATGGCAAAGGCCAGACCAATTCCTCTTTCAGTGATATCAGCCAGAAGCTGTTGAATCTTGACCACCAATTTAGTCATGACATTTTTCTCACTTTAGTTCCATGTCAGTACACATTACCATCAAATATGTCATGTTACACACAGCAGAATGACACCACATGATACAGTGTATGAAAATTGATGGACCCCAAGTCCTTGGCTAGTCCTGCCCAGATGCATGACCAAAGGCAGCCTTGGAATGTGTCCCTACTGACCATGCATCCGTGAGACAGGTATTCAATGTGTTAACATTCTATAAATTCAGAAAGGGATGAAATTGGAGCCATCTTATGATAGTAATTATTCCTGATACATCAGAATTAAAAAGAAACAATGCATGCAAATATAGCCTTGCTGGATCTTACATTTCACATATTCCTTTTCATCACGAACACTCTGCACTGCAGCACGGGGTGCCTGGCACGCAAATGGTGTGCAAAACTTCCCCTTTTTGTTGACAGACCCCAAAGATGGTGCTGAGGACCTTCTCATTTGGATAACTTAGGGACCTTTCCGGCAAATGAAAAAATCGTCGCGGACGGGCTTCACCAGACTGAACAAAGATTACAATTCTAATTATTTTATGGAGACTGAAACACAAGAAATTACTATGTAGCCACTGGTCATAAAATAGGCATAACTTGAAATATCCCGCCGAATCGTGCGTGTATTTTGCCTTCAGCGCGCCAGAGAGGCTTCAGTAGTTTCTGCACATCAGCTCATAGCACGCTTAACGCACCATGCAAAAAATAATTGTTCCCTTAAGCCACTTACAATTATAAAATCAAAAGTAAAAAAAATGTTTTTGTCAACGACTTCTGGCAGAGATCTGCTAAAGGAACTCTTCACACTGGGCTACCGCCAGGTGGCAGGCGGCCGTCCGACCTGCGAGCGGCAGCAAGGTGCACCCAAGCAGACGCACATTGCCACATGACGAACCGATGCGTACAGCAAACGCGCGCCGCCAATGTAAAAGCTAAATAGGCGCCAGAATGAAATAAACGCTCCCGCAACAGCAACTGTGACCGTCCTATCATCACCCTCCAGCCCAAATATTCACTTTTAAACACAGTAAGAACGACAGCCTCTGTGTCCGTGTGCAAGCGGCCTGGGCTGCTGACGGCCGGCCGGTTGATATTTGACAATGCCAATAACGGACCTCCTGGCGAGTTAGATGCAACACCGCCCGCACTGGTACAAACGAAGCACGTGTGCATGCACGTCTAAATACCAGAACCCTGGCCGTCTCCTCGCTTTCGGGTCCCAACGCACGCATTGTGAGGCGCAGCTTCGGGTAGATTATCCCAAGTACAGTATGGGACCTTCTTGCAGGATTGATGCAAGGCCGGCCATAATGGCACCAATGTGACACGTGTGTACGCACGTGACATATGGAGGCATGTGTCGACCATTCTATTGCTTTCGTGATTTAATATGACGTTGTGCAAGCCGCATGGGCTGCTGGCGGCCGATCGGTCGATAATTGCCCTAAGTTCAACAACGGACCGCCTGATATGTTAGGTGCAAGACTGTTCAGATTGTTACAAACATGGCACGTGTGCATTTGTGTCAAATGAGGGACTACGTTTGCGACAGTCTGGGCTGCTGCCCAGAAGGTCGCAAACGTAGCACCTATAAGTGAGTGTGAAAACTAGAACGTATGCTCAGTATTCTTTGGTTTTCTGTACTAAAACTGTGAAGTTTTTATTGTCAAAACGGCCTGAGCGACAAGCAGGTACGCGGCCGGGAATCGCGCCAGGTCAAGTAATGGACCTCCCGACAGGCTATGTCCGAGACCGTCCAAACCGCCACGAGCCTAGCACATGTGCGCGCATGTGTCATATGCAGACAGGTTGTATCGCTTCGGTGATGGGTACACCACTGCACAAGCGGTCTGGACGACTGGCGGCCGCCCGGTTAGAAAATTGCCTCTGTTCCAACAGCGGACCTGCCCACAAATTAAGCTCAAGACCACCCAAACTGGTGCAAACGTGGCACGTGTGCATGCATGTCCAAATGCCTGTGCTGTATCGACCGTCTCATCGTTTTGTGGGACCAACTCACACATTGTGGGGCGCAACTTCGGCCGGATTGCTCCAAGGCGATCATGGGACCTCCCTGCAGGCTAAATGAAAGACCGGCCAAAACGGCACAAATGTGGTAAGTGTGCACGCATGTGACATATGGAGACATTATTCCACTATTCCATCGCTCTGGTGATTGATCACGTCATTGTACGAGCGGTCTGGACGGCGGGGGCCTGCCGGTCGATGATTGCCAACTCCAACAGCGGATCTCCCGGCGCACCCTCCTTTCCGGCCGGCTGCGTCCGGTCACTTCTAGACCCGGGTCACGTGATGGCCCGAGGTACCGAGGTCAGCGATGAGAGGTGAGATAGCTGGCTAATACAAGTTTGGTCACGCGGTACCTGGCGTGTGGCTGGACCCGCTGGCGGACGGCCGCGACACTGGCAACTGAGGTGCAGGACCGCCCAAACTGACACGAACGTAACGTGTGGGCCTGTAGGTCCAAATGTCACTGACCTGGTCATCGCTTTTGTACCAACTCACGCATTACGAGGCGCAACCTTGGTTAGGCTGCTCCAGCTACAGTAAGGGGCCTCTGGACACTAGATGCAAGACAGGCCAAAACGGCACAAACGTGGCACGGATGCACGCACGTGACATGTGGAAGTATGTTTCGACCATTCTTTCGCTTTGGTGATTGGATATGCCATTGTGCAAGCTCCTTGGGCGGCTGGCGGCCGCCCGGTCGATAGCTGATCCAAGTTTAATAACGAACCCCGCTCCCCCCCCCCCCCCCCCCCCCCCCGACAAGTGAGGTGCAAGACTGCCCAAACTGTGTAAACGTAACATGTGTAAATGTATGTAAAAAATGTACAACGTGCGCTATGTATTCCTTGGCTTTCGGGATTGAGGCTGTGAAATTTGCATCGTCAAAGTAGTCTGAATGGCTGTTTGTTAGGCGGCCCGAAATCACCCCAAGTCCAGCAACGGATCTCCTTACGATACAAACGTGGCACGTGTGCATGTAAGTGCAAGTGCCAGAGCTACGCCGACCGTATCTTCGTTCTCGTGTCCGAACTTGCACATTATGAGGCGCAGCTTCGGCTAGATTGCTTCAGGTCCAGTATGGGACCTCCCTGCAGGCTAGCAGCAACACCGGCCAAACGGAGCAAACGTGACACATGTGCACGCATGTGACATGTGGAAGCATGTGTTGACTGTTTCATCGCTTTCGGCCATAGGCTTGGCAAGCTTCCACTGTAAGTGTTCTGAGTGACAGGCGGTCGTCAGGTCGAGTATCGCCGCATGTCCGCAGCGCGCCTTCTTGCAGGCTAGATACGTTGCCGCCCGAACACGTAATAGGAGGGTTTTAGCCTCTCCCCGCTCTTTGAAAGATAAAAACGCCAAAGCCGGGGAAGCACATTGTTTAGTTGGGGGGAGGGGCGAAAGTTTTCGGAATTTTTCACGGTTTTACCTCTGAACTCTTATTGCACAACTGAGCCCATGCAGGTTGCTTGAGAAAGCCGTCTTCCTCTCACCACATTCTGAAATCTCATCGCCGCCTCTCGCTCCAGCCGAGTTGGATGGAAGACGGCCATTCTCCAAAGTAATGCGTGGGGAGGCCTTTCTGGTCCCAGACGGTTCCCCGCCGGCGCTCCGCTCACGCGAACGGCATGTTCGGCCGAGGCTACCGTCAGCCTCGGCCGAACATTTATTGACACTTTTTTGAATATTGACACCTTAGAATCGGTTTTAGGCGGAAAGCTTGGCACGAGATGCTCACCTAACCTATCCCAGCACCTGATTTCTCCCAACATTTCAGCCACTTAAATTGGCTTTCCCGACGCCAAGGATCAATGTTTTCATCGCCCGATATGACCATGGCGGAAAAATAACGGTCCATTGCAAGTCTTTACGGTATTGCAGTGTAGTAACAAGCTTAGAGTTGGGTGAAACGCACAGAAAACATCTTAGTAAGAATATCTGATAAGATCACTGGGAACAGGTCTCGTTTATTGTTGACGGATGGCTGTCCTGGGCGCAAAAAGGCAGCTTTCTCCCGAATGGCTTGTACAATGGCATGCTCAATCACAAAAGCGAAAGAATGGTCGACGCATGTTTCCATATATCACATCGGTCACACGAACCAGACTTGCGCCGTTTTTGCCGGTCTTGCTTTCCGCCTGTCGGGAGACCCTTTACTGGACCTCGTGCGATTCCCGGCCGCGTGGCCGCCTGTCGCTCACATCGTTCTGAAAATGAAAACTTCACAGTTTCAGATCCGAAAGCCAAAGCCTAATGAGCTGCACATGTCCATCATTCGACACACGTGCACACGTGCTATGTTTGTAACAGTTTCGGCAGTCTCGCACCTAACTTGCCTGGAGGTCCGTTGTTGGACCGCGGACAATTTTGGACTTGGCGGCCGCCAGTCACTCAGAGTATTTAAAAAATAGAAACCCGAAAATTCCAGTTCCGAAAGAGATAAAGTGGGCAACACATACCGCCATATGTCACATGCGAGCACATGTACCACATCTGTGTCGTTGTGGCCGGTCTTGCATCCAGCATGCAGGGAGGGTTTCGGCGCTTAAGTGCCCTTTGACCAGACCCCCAGGTCACCATCTTCTCCCCAGGATTATTGATTAAGCGGCGTCGAGTGGGGAAGGTTTGGCGTTGATCGATCTGATAGGCTCGGAGTATGGGGTGGTCAACATATTATGTTGGTCAATTGGTCCATCCCGGGATACTAATCACACCCTTAGCAAAGCCTATAACGAGGTTCCAGAGTTCAAACAGGTGCCGTCAATGAAATGCCCCGGTGCCTCAGTTGGTTAGAGCGCCCGCCTCCCGACTCACCCACCCGTGGCGAGATGAGTTCGAGTCGCTGTAGGCGCTCGCATCTGTCCTTGACAGGTATGGCCTCCGGCGGGCGGCAGCGGTCGCGATCAAGGTCAGCTGACGTCGGAGGGCTAGACGGACCGTGTCGACCATTGTGGGGCGTCAAGCCTTCGCCGCCAAATTCTGCCGTGGACTTGGAATCGCGCGATCAGATGGTGAGGGTCTGGGCTCACACAACAAGCACTGCTCAGCGTGAGTTCTAATCCCAGAATTCCATCCATTCGAAACATTCGGACTAAATCTTAAGGATGACATGGATCATGACAAGGAAGGATGACATGACAATGGATCTACGTCTTGTATAACAAATGGTGTGATTTCTTCTCCACTTGGGCGCAAAGGACGGGTTTCGCGCCTTCCGGCCAGCTGTTCCGTACTCTATTCAGTTAAGCTTCGATTCAACCTCTTGATGAGGATGAAAGATAATGCTAGTGAAATGATACTGACTTACTTGAACCTTCACTTTACAAAGGCGTACTTTAAGCACAAAAACCCTACGAAATGACGCATGATAACAGTACTTTAAATTAGTAGCATTGAGTAAAATGCGCGGCGAGCGATATCTGGCACACTAGCGTCATACCCTGCGCAAACATTACACACGAGGAGCAGCTAGCGTTTGCTTTCGTTAACGCACTAAACGTTTTGGGACGCGTTGTGCAGGAGGGCCTACGACGGCGGGGTAACGGACGGTGGGTTCCTAGTATTGAGAATTACAATAGCGATAGGTTAAAGGACGGTTAGGTTCTACCCTGTTTTCCTATCAACAAGAACTGTGATCCTACCGACTGGTGTGTGCGAATGCGTGTCCCCGTAGTGTATTGTCTGGAAACACATAAGTTTATTCGGGTTCCAAACGTTGGTTTAAGATCCTACCGTAGAGGTTTTGCGCCATTGTGCTTTGAATTCTGAAGCGTACTTCCGTAAACAGGTAGAGTTTTTGCTGAAGTCCAGTGGTGATTTCACTCAGTGTTCCTGGCGTTATACCGATGCGGTCTCAGAAATGGAGGATGGCCTTGCACTGGGCTGATGTATACACATACATCCATATAGATATATAGACATGATATATATATATATATATATATATATATATATATATAGATATATGTATTTACTGGTTCTTCACCTGACCAAGATGCTTTAATCAGGATTATCTCAAATTCACCTAGTGCCATTAACTTGCAGAGGTAGAGCATCACTTCCTGCCTGTTGTGAGTTGGCTTGGCTCACTGTGTATCATGTATCATTGTGTTCCCCAGGACAAATTCACTAATGGAGCTTCCTAAGTTGCATGCATGTTGAATAGTGTAACCTGTCCAATAGATCTGTTGATGATGATGATGATTTGGAGTTTTAGGATGCATCAGCTGCTGTAGGTCATGCAGCACCCATCAGTATATCTGTCAGGAGTGCTCAGCATTTAATAGTAACATGGTGTCTTGATACATTCGTATAAGTGCAGAAGTTGCTGGTTTTAAGCTGCACCTGCTTTGTACTCACTTTTCCAGTGTTGAATATGTATTTAGTACCATAAATATAAAGTGCACTGCTGGGAAGGCTGCATTGAGGCAATGCACTGCATTTTACATGAATATATTTTTTGGTCATATATTTCAGAAAGCCATCTGCTGGACATTCCTTAAGCCTACAATGTTATGGCGAACACTTGGGTCAGCTGTTTTGCTGATCATTTTCAGGTCAACTTTCATGGATTTGTTCAGGGAAGACAAGGTTCAGGATGAGGATTCCAATGATTCTGGATTGGAAACATACCAGGAAGTAATTCACAGTGCTCCAGGAGATGAAAGCACCAACAGGGACCAGGATGAGATGCATGCAGGATCAAAAAGGTGAGCAACATAGTTTTCCTTAGCATTATGAGAAGCCTATCTGAATCTTATGAAAAATGATCCATGACAATGTTAAAGACCTTAGCAGGTGTTTTTTAATTGGCAATCTACAATCAATTCTGTATGCTATGATTGGATGTTATGTAATGCCTTTTTACTGGAAGCCCATCATCAAGCCATGTGCCCATGGGTGTCAGTAGTGTAATGGTTAACATGGTATGAACCATGTGTCATGAACCACCTGCACTTCTGGAAAAAGCAACCAAGAGGTAAGGTTTGATTTCTGCTGCCCTTCCTGCCAGGGTGGGAAGGCACCACCATAAAGGCCCAACAGCTGAGTATGTTGTAAAGCTCCAATGACTACAACAAAGCTATGGTAAATCAAAATAGTTTGTAGTGATTTATTTTGATGTCAGTATGGTTTTTTGTTGGGACAGGGGGCTGAAGTCGTCTTGACTAGGATATGGCACATTTTGGCCCCCAGTATGCCTTAAACTGTGCATTGGACTTTAATTCAAGATACACTGAAAGTGCATCTATGAGAGCATCAGTTTAATATATCATTCAATGACTGAATCTTTTGGATGGTTACAATATTGACATCAAGCTGCTTCTGACACCCCTGGTAGGGCAAGTTTACATGGTCACAATGTCTGCAACTGGCACTAGACAGTTTGAGGATATAGACAGGCAAAGGCATCATGCCAGCCCTCTAGGGCAGCCATGACTGGGACAGTGGGCAGAGCTGCTTTACGAATTCACGATTGAAGTCAGCAGGTATTGTGAACTTGAGTGCAGAATGATAGTTTATTGGTGCAGCCAGTTGAGAAGATTTCATGAATGCAAGGAAACACACCATGTTCGTTTTTGTATCAATAGACATGCATTACAAACATCAAATGTGACCAATTTTGACCAAGCAGAAGATTCGTGTTAATAAATTTATTGCGACTGAGACGTCAAACAAATTTGAAACCTGCGCTCGGCCGGGGATCTGAGACAATGGCGCTCAGCGCGGGGGAAGTTCACTTCCTCCCTGGGATCTCCAGCTTCCTGACGTCATATTAGAAAAACAAAGATACCATGTTGAAGGTCTCGTCAACTCATGAGGAATGCACACCAGTTTTTTACTTTATGCTAAATGTGATGACACCAGAGGTCACGAAACGTCAAAAACGGTCGTTCCGGTAGATGTCGTTAAAACCTGTGTTGACACGTTAAGGCGGAGAATGAGGGCACGAGAATAAGCTTTAACGCGCGCCGCGTGGCTGGTTGGATACCTTTTGCTCGGGTAGGGAGTCAATTGGACCCTCCCCCCCCCCCCCCCACTGAGCTCTCAGAAGCAAAAAGAGCTAGACACCCAATTCACAGGGTGTGTTGACCTATAAGTGAGCTCACTTGGTCAAAGTTTGAAGTCCCTAGGTCATGGCCTTTGGGTCAAATAAGGTCAAACAAGGTCAAACTCCAGGCTGGTGTCCAAGGTGCCCCAAAATCTAGATACCTGTTCTAGGCAAAATGTCACATGCTCGTTAAAGGTCAATGACCTTGCTTGATCTTTCGAAGGTCATGGTGACCAAAGTCATACAGGACTGCTTTGAGTTTTGCATTTGAATAAGCAACAAATATTACGGTAGGCACTATGTTCCTGAAAGCGAAATCTTGACCTAGGTAACTTTACATCGGTAACCTATTCTGGCCTTTAAGAAGTCCATGGAAGATGTACAATGCGCTTCCTGTTACCAGTAAATTTGACCTGAGCACCAGAATGTACCTCAAGCAGCAAGCTCCAGAGTAATAAAACAGATTTATTTTAACCTTGGTCTGACTCTCATACCTGACCCTAGGTCAGTTGTTGTGTTGCCTCAAAAAGTATCCCAGAGATGTATGGCTTCGTCTAACACTCCGCTGTCGCATCAGATTGAACGATTCCCGGGAAATTGACTTCGTTGAATCCATGACCTGATTTTGACCTGCTGTAGGTCAGCGACATCGCAAGTTACACCTAAATTTTTGATACCAAACGATCTGCTATTCAATTGTCTACAACTGGGGAAAATTTGGCGGGACTACGCCGTGCCGTTCGGAAACCATTTCAGAAATATATTCGGGGGATCAAATTGACCCCCGCCCGAGCTCATGTTAAGACTGTAGTCCATTCCGACCATTTTTGTTCCCCCACAAGGGTCAGGTCAGATCAGGTGATCGTTCATTGTCCGCCGGCCTGCAAAAACGATAGTCTTTTCGCAATGCGCTTCTGACTAAGTTTATGTTATGAGGTGTAGCTGTGGGAAAAAGCTTTCCAGACACAACAATACCACTTTAGGTTGACCAAGACGTCGTCCAAGTTAACCTTGGTTAAACTTAGCTGAAACTTAAGTTGAAGTCACCCTGAGATGCACGACGCCATAGAAACGTCACAAGAACTCCGCGTCTTCGATTGTCATGTTGTTCGAGGCCAACAAAAACATGGCCGTTGAGTTCATTGTCTGTTCAGTATCTGGAGTACGTCAGCGCGAATTGTGGCATTAATGGACAACATTTGCTTTCAACCAGCTGACGCTTGAATCGGAAGTTTCGAACACAAACCACGTTTTTGACACATAAATTTGGGCAGTGCTGCTGGTTATGATGGGAATGAAGTTTGAAATCAAATAACTTAGGAATAGCGTCGTAACTGAAAATGCGTATGCAATCAAACATTGTATGTCTGGAAGATTGACAAAAATGCCATAAGAAAGTGCCAAGACACGCACAGATATGGGATGGACACAGGGTGAGTGAAGGCGAGGATTGAAGAAACAGATGTTGTATGTCGATGACATGGCATGGGAACAGTAATTCTCTTTTCAAGGTGTTAAGTGCACACAGTAATTTTGTAGAACTTTTTTACGTTAAAAACTTCTCATTGCATTAATCCTTCTTGAAAGCTGCCATTATCAATATAAATTGGCATGGATGAAGTATGAGTCCGGACTGCGCTCTACATTAACATAGCAGTTGGCGTCTTAAAGCCTTCAAAGGTGCTTATTTCACTATGTCGTTATTTTCGTTCGTCCATTGGCCGCCGCCTAGTATAAGCTCTAAGGCCGAGGCCACGCGGCCTAAGGAGACCGCAACGTCGGGTATCATTTTTTTTCTGGGACTTGTGAGCCCGCACTTTCAAAACCATCCGCGCAATTTTTCTCACTCATCGATTCTGACTGAAGACAGGACATTCCCTTGTTACCATGGGCTGGTCATTGTGATACAAATCCGTGACCCCATTTCGATCTACGATTCACGTTCCTGGTGTCAGTTTATCTGCAGAAGCTAGAAAAAAAACTAGGATAGCGCCTGGATTCTATCGGCTTAGACAGGGCCGGCTAAACCATGGCTAATTGAATGGCGTCGGCAGATTATTACATGCAGTTATTTGACAGAATTATTGAATCGATTTTCAACACATTTAATCCGAAGTTGTGGAATACATGGATTTCTGGGATCAGAGCTCATGTTAAGCAGTACTTGTAGCGCGAGCCCTGACCCCTACCACCCGATCGCGTAATTCCAGGTCAACGGCAGAATTCGGGAACGAAAGTTTAATGTGCTGCAATGCTCGACACAATCCGTCCTGCCCTCTGACGTCAACTGACCTTCAGCGCGGTCGCTGCCACCGGCCGCAGGCTATAACTGTCAAGGGCAAATAGCGAGCGCCTGAAGCGACTCGAACCCACCCCGCCACGGGTGGGTGGATCGGAGGGCACGTGCTCTAACCAAGTGACCCATCGGAGCAGACACAAAAGGGCGGGGCGAGATTTGTATTTATATCGGTGACCACTCCTTTAAGATCCGATCAGTCTTTGGTTCAAAACTAAAAATGCAGTCAGGTACAGTTTTGAAAGCGGGCAAAATAGCTAAAAATGATTGCTGGCCTGCATAGTTTTAATGGCCAATCTGACGCTGCTTACATATGCGTAACAGTAATGCGTGAAGCCATTAGACCCAGCCTTACAGCCATTGGTCCAGGTTTTTCGACCGTTTTGTCTGCCCCAGCCAGCTCTGCTTGCCGTCCAAGTCATGGTCACCTCACCGCAACGTTCAAATGCCTATGCGTGTTCTCATCCTCGGGCTATTTAGTGCCGTGTGCAGAGGTAGTAATCACGTTACGTACCCGCCGGTCGGGAGGGTCGTATTGGCAGAGGCAATGTCGGGACCCCGATTGCCTGCCCTGTCGTGAGGTGTCAGAATCAATTTTGTGTCGATTTAGCAGACGCCCGAGAGTCTGATTGAGTCATGCATGATACTGATGCTCTCATGGATACGTTTCCAATGCATTTTTAGTTAATTGCCAATTCGCGGTTCAACGCGCGTTAGAGGCCAAAATGAGCCGGACGCTGGCCATGACCATTTCAGCTGCAGCCCACAATATAATGCGTGTTCATTATATTGTGGTCATCAGCCACGTCGGCACTCAACACCTGTCCTGTCATGTTCATCAGGGTGCCCTTGCCACTAGTTCACATCGCGTACCTCTGGTGCAAGTGTTTCAGCTTGCAGCAAGTGACCATTGTCTGTGTATTGTCGCTGATTCCAGACACACCACTGATGTCAGTGTCCCGTCAGAGGACAGCTCTCAGAGGCCAGCGAAGCGGAGACGGCGGGGCCGCTCCCGTGGCTCGCGGCTGCGGCCCGGCCGGCTGCTGCTGGGCGGCACCATCACCGACCCTCTGAACCTCACCAGCCTGCCGCAGGCCAGCTCTCAACGGTGGGAACTGGCCACAAACAGAGTCGTTACAGGATGTCTTCCGATGCAGTTTATGGTTGTACCGTTGCGTTGGTGTCGCGGTGAAGTTGCAGACCTGTTGCTCACGTCGGGGTACGATGGTGGGTGGGGTCATAAGCTAGCCATGGACTGCGTGTTCTACTGCAGACTGGTGTGTCACTCTGCAGTGGCACTGCAATGCAGCACATCATAACTGAGCTGTGACATGTTCACAGGAAAGGACGTGGCGGCCCAGCTGCTGCCACGGGGCCACCAGAGACTGTCCTTCCGGAGGCCGCCCCTGCTGTCCCAAGCGCTCCCACCACCCTCACTGCCCCCACTGCCCCCACTGCCCCTGCTACCTCCCTTGGCCCCACATCCCGGACACCCTCAGTCATTTTGACTTCCACGATCCCCCCTGCTGCCCCGACAACCACAGCTCCGACGGTGCCCACTGCCCCCACTGTCCCTCCTGCCCGTGCCCAGTCGGCCACCTCGGGCCCCGCACCACTGGTCAAGTTCAAGCCGCAGGGTGACCGGTTCAAGTACGGGAACTACAACCGGTACTACGGCTACAGGAACGGCGCCGAGGTGGGTACTGGCCATTGCTGGGAGCGGACATGGTGGGCAGGTGGTGCCCTCGTAGAAGCGGCACTATAGTGTGTCGGGGAAAAAATGGCACAGAGACAGGATTTTGGTCGTAGAAACGAGCCAAGCAATACTGTTCAGGGTTAATGGCTTGTAATGGGCAAACATGCATGGGACACAATCGATATATATATATATATATATATATATATATATATATATATATATATACACATATATATGCATGCATATATCACAGTAGTTTTTTTTAGAAAAAAAGGATAAAAGTGTACCTTTTTGGACGCCACTTGCCGCTTTGCGGCGCGGCACTGTCCATCACCGTGTTTCTATTGTGAAGCATACCAGCACACTACCACTCTCTTGGTGCAGGTAGCGGGCAACAAGCCCGTTTATTGATGTGGCCTGGCAGCCCCAGTGCAGCCTGTCCGTGACCCCGCCCCACTGACGAGCGTCCTGACACTGCCCGCAGAGGGACCGGCGGCTCTGCCCGTGACCCCGCATCACTGACGAGCGTCCTGGCACTGCCCGCAGCGGGACCGGCGGCTCTGTCCGTGACCCCGCACCACTGACGAGCGTCCTGACACTGCCCGCAGCGGGACCGGCGGCTCTGTCCGTGACCTGGCATCACTGACGAGCGTCCTGACACTGCCCGCAGCGGGACCGGCGGCTCTGTCCGTGACCTGGCATCACTGACGGGCGTCCCGACACTGCCCACAGCGGGACCGGCGGCTCTGTCCGTGACCCCGCATCACTGACGAGCGTTCTGACACTGCCCGCAGCGGGACCGGCGGCTCTGTCCGTGACCCCGCACCACTGACGAGCGTCCTGACACTGCCCGCAGCGGGACCGGCGGCTCTGTCCGTGACCCCGCACCACTGACGAGCGTCCTGACACTGCCCGCAGCGGGACCGGCGGCTCTGTCCGTGACCCCGCACCACTGACGAGCGTCCTGACACCGCCCGCAGCGGGACCGGCGGCTCGACTGCCTGCGGCCGGAGTGGTTCCGCGGCCTGGACGTGCTCGACGTGGGCTGCAACATCGGCCACATCACGCTGACGGTGGCGCGTGACCTCCTGCCACGCCGCTGCGTCGGCCTTGACATCGACGCCAGTCTGGTCAAGGTGGGGCGCGGGGGACAGGTCTGCGGAGGGGGAGGGGGCGGGTCTGATCAAGGTGGGGCGCGGCAGACCGGCCGGCGGAAGAGGAAGGGGAGGGGGAGTCCGGCGCCGCTCCTGTGATGGTCAGCTGTGCTGTTGCTCTTTTCGCGGGCGGGCGGGGCACAACGTAGCGATGAGATCCGATAAGCCATGAAATCTTTTAATTTTTTGTCAGTGCGGTAGAATGCGGCTCTTTTCGGACCGCATTGACTTATCATTCTTCTGGTTTACATAATATTTGACATTCTGATTGCGACAACGTCCCGGATTGCTTCAATCGTTCGTCAATCGTCAGTTCTTACACTGCAACGCGATCAGATTTAACCCTGATGTTATTGCAAGGATGTCCACTGATGTTGAAATCGGATTAGCGTCAGATGCTTACTAATCAAGCTTATTCCTCTGAAAGCTGTCATTATTAGTTATGTTCGTCGTAGGATTGAGACTTTCCTCTTTACATGGGCACTCGGCATACTTGGCCGTGCCAAATGATCACTTATCATAGCGTGGACTTGTCTCACGGCGCGTGGTCTTCGCCGTGTGCCTGGTCTCCGCCACCGCTTCGCTCCCGTCCGTCTCCGCTGCCGCATCACCCGCGTCCGCCGCCGCGCCCCAGACTGCCACCGTGGTCCGACGCCCGCCTCTCTGCCGGCAGATCGCGCGCAAGAACGTGAAGCACTACCTGCGCCCTGGCGCGGCCGGTGCGCCGCCGGCCGGCCTGACGCGGCTGTACGGCCCGCTGGCGCCCGCTCCCGCTCCCGCTCCCACTCCCGCTGCCGCTTCTGCCGCCGCCGCCGCTCCCACTCCCGCTTCCGCTCCCGCTGCCGCTGCTCCCACTCCCATTCTCGCTGCCGCCACTCCTACTCCCGCTCCCACCCCCACTCCCGCTCCCGCTCCCACTCCCGCTCCCGCTGACGCCGCTCCCGCTCCTGCTGACGCCGCTCCAGCTCCCGCTGACGCCGCTCCCGCTCCCGCTCCCGCTCCCATTCCCGCTACCACCGCCACCGCCGCCGCCGCCGCCGCCGTCGCACCGGACGCCGCCGCCGGCCACTTCCCCGCCAACGTCTCGTTCGTGCACGTGAGTGGCTGCGCCGCTTCATGGGTGGCGAGCGGTCGACGATCGGGCCGCCTCGGGGTCACGGCCGCTGGACGTCTGTCGCGAGGGTCACGTAGTGGCCAGGCTTGCCGGCGTGCGTCATGTCTGTGGCATACGCGGGGCCTTTGCCTCACCAGCGACGCGCAAGTGACCTTGAGGACCAGGATCCACGGCCGCATGCTTGTATCGTGTTTCACTATATACCTTGATGTGTCCTCTTTCCTTTTCACTTCTCTTGCATTTCTTACAGTGCAGCGTGAATTTAACGTTCACCCTACCGTAGCGGATGGAAAGAGCCCATTTCAGAAGGTGACCTAGTACTCACACATTGTGGGATGTAACTGTTGCCTTCAGGTCGGGCACTGTCGTGTATTAAAGGCGAGAGGATGGAACTTGTTTGTAATGCTGCGGAGCCCCACGTTTCTGGACGGCGTGTGCGAGAGATCCGTGATTGCTGGACGTCAGTGTCTGTGTTGGACTCGTGATCGGATGAGTGAGCGGAGAGCTGTGCCGCTCACCTCCGTCGCACCCGCGATCGACACATGCGTCTGAAGGCTACGCTTGTCTCGTCAGTCGGCGCCCTCACCGGACCTCCGTCGGCCCACAGGCCAACTTCGTGCTGGAGTCGGACGCACTGCTGGAGACGGTGCGGCCCGAGTTCGACACCATCCTCTGTCTGAGCATCACCAAGTGGGTGCACCTGAACTTCGGCGACGCCGGCATGCGGCGCTTCTTCCGGCGGGCGTTCCTGAGCCTGCGGCCGGGCGGCCGACTGCTGCTCGAGCCGCAGCCCTGGGCCAGCTACGTCAAGAAGAAGAAGCTGACAGTGAGTTTGTCAATGCCGCCGTCTGGCGCCAAGTCCTTGCCGAGACGCGGCGGGGCGCGGTGCTGTATCAGTATTTTGTTTTCAAGTTCACCTGGTTTCTTCTTCCTGCGCGTACCGTCTTTGTCGAAAATCGGTGCGTGTTGTGCCCTTGGTGTTGTGTAGGCTTTGTCCTCCGGTGCTGGCTTTTCAAAGCCCTCGTTTCCTCCAGTTTGCGCGCTTGTCATATCCCATCCGCGTGCTGACGGGCTGACTGCTGCGTCGGCAGCCGCGTATCTGGACGACGTTCCAGCAGATCCAGCTGCTGCCCGAGCGGTTCCCGCAGCTACTGGTGGACGAGATTGGCTTCCTGCCGTGCCAGCTGCTCGGGCGACCACAGCACGCCGCCAACGGCTTTAACCGCCAGCTGCAGCTGTTTACCAAGGCAAGTCACCGGCTGCGGTCGGTCGCTAAGCCTTGCCGCACTGCAGCTGTTCATGAGCCGTTGCAGTCAGCTGTCCGGCGAAAAGTCCCCGGGAAGTCGGCGTGCCTCCCGTTCAGCTGCGTTAGACCGCCCGCGGGCTGGCACAGGTGGTTTGGTGTGACACTTTGTTCATTGGGTGGGCTCGCTGCCCGCATCTGTTTTGTTCGTCACGTGCTCGTGGATGTGTGGCTGATTTCTCCCCTTTCGAGAACAATCAGCATGAGCTGCCGCCAGTGGAGGCCATTCAGAGAGCGGTGGGTAAATTTTAATGTCTGCTGCGGAGGGTAAATGCGTCGGGTATTTTTAGGACAAATGGTGTTTTTGGTTTTATGTCGCACGATTTCCTGCAATGCATGTGATCATACCCGTGTGCTTTATCGTTCCAGCCCGGCGGAGTTACCACAGTGGTTGATCAGCAGCGCAAGGCCGCCGCCTCGCCAGCCGATCCAGCAGTCCCAGACGGTAGTCCCAGGAGCTCCCAGACGGCGGATCACGCGCAGCCAGCGGCGAGCACGTCAGAAAACCCGCCGGCGAGCGGCTCTCAGACACGTGCGGCTCTCTGATTGGCTGCCTGAACTGACCCGAACACGGGTCACCAGCCGCGCGGCGTCGGAGATCGCGCGCCGGGGTGCGTGGCGCTGGCCACAGCGGGGCCGGCCTCTGTGAACTCTCAGGGCCGCCGTGGATTCGGAGCCGGCTGTGGCATCGCGACATGCCTCGTGGGTTGGAGGCGCGTGTGAAGCCGAGCAGGACGGGTTAGAAACGAGACGTTGGAACAGCGCGGGGTGGCGACGGTGACGAAAAGTGGCACCTCAAGTGATGTTGACGCGGTGGGCCACGGCCTTTGTGCTGAGTGCGGCGCGTGCGTGTTGTGCCAGAAGCCAGCCTGTCATTGGTTCGAAGACACATAGTTCTGTGCTCCCGGGGGGCATCTGTGATGAAGATCGTCTCAGCTCCTCGCCGTGATAATTTCGTAAATAAACTGTATTCACTCGGACTGTACAAACCTACAGATAGCTGCTATCGCGTACTGAACCACTGCCTGTCCTCTTGTGCCAGGCCAGGTGTGCAGCCGGGGCGGGGATGGGCTGTCGCGCTCCCTGGAGGTTAGTTGGCCGCGAGGACAGGCTCGGTGCGAGGGATCGGTGTCGATGGTCAACCTTTGGTGAAGCCGACCTGCCCCGTGGAGGTGCGGTCCACTCGACACCTCGCATGCACGCGACTACGAGAAAAGGCGGACGGCGGAGATCGGGCCTTCAGCCCAGTCCAGTCCTCGGGCCACCGGTCGTCGTGCGGCACTGTGAGCTGCCTGCCGCGGCTGGATGTCACCGGAGGCTATCGGAAACGGGGAACGGGGAACTGCAAACACGCCGGGCCGGCACATCCCTGATCAAACAAGCTGCCGATACGCTTGTGGACGGAGTGGAGATACACACCGCCGCGTGGCCACGGGGTCCTGGCGTCACATGATCCTGCGTGTCGCCGAGTCCGATGATATCGGTGCCACCGAGAACGTGCGGTCCGTGGGCCCGGCTGCTGCCTACCGAAATGGCGGGGTTTCTCAATACATGGTGCCAGTGCCACTGGCGGATTCAGTATGGGAATTTTCGGAGTCCGTTCGAAGTGCATGTTTGGACTTGTATCAAATTGAATACGCCCAAACAAAAAAGGCCAAGTTTGGTATCTTTCATCATCTTGAGAGAGGGAATCCCCCTCCGCGTGGTCCCCCTGGGTCTGCCCTTAAACTGCACCATGGGTACGAACACTGACACCGACCGGCCAATGGCCCCAGCGGGCTGTGTCATTCCCGCTGCCGTTGGCGTCTATCAATGCATTGCATGCCGACGACGTGCGCTGTAGCTGGCGGAGCGTCGGCGGTGCCTAGCGCTCAACGGCCCCGCTGTACTGCAGTCAGGTCCGGCTGAGGAGCAGCCGTTTGCGAGCACGGCGCACGGGGAAGGGATGTACGCGAGAGACCTCCGTGTCTGCTCATTCGTTTAAGCAGACGTCTTGGAAGTGACCCTGGCTTACGAGGTGCAGGGTGGACCTGGTTCCCCCCGGCGCAGGAGGACCGTGTGTAGGATCAGTTTCCGTTTTCCCAAGACCGGGCTTGTTAGGTACGTGACTTCGACGCGCCGTTGCGCTGTAGCTGACGCCAATAATTTAAGCTGATATTCGCAGGCTTGTCACTTGGACTATGTTCTTAATGTTGCAGCCGGGCTGTTGCGGGCAGTGAGAAGCGAAGCTGACTCTCGCTATTTAGCCTGCCGTTGGAGACATGCTCTGGAGGACACAGCTGCGGAAACGGATGCGCCGGTGATCAGCTCGTCTTTTTTCGCCGCACGCATGTGATGCAGGGGAATATTACACACAACGGGCAACGGCGATGCTCGCTTGGTCCCGGTGGTATTGTAGCCAACGAACCTAGCAGTTTCTAAAGACCCTCAATCTATTTTCCAGGCTTTATTGGTGCAAATTCGACCCTAATCAAACATAAGAAGTCTTTAATCAGCTGTCTCAGATTACAGGACACGGAACTGTTCTAAAAAACAATTACACAATCTTACCAAAGAAAACAGGTGGCAGTTTCCGAGTTTCCCAAACGAAAGCGTGCAGAGCGGCTATCGCCAGCCCAAACTGGAGCGCGGACACCATACAGTTTTGCAAATTGCGCCGCACACAAACATTCCAGTGAAAAAATTTATTCATGATTGACGACTACGGTTCACAATCTCATACGATCCAGCTGGTTGTGTATGCGTAACGCAACGCGTTGTCTCGGCGAGGCGCCGGTACAACGGAGCACACTCGAACACTTCGGTCCACCCGAACACACTTAGAGGCAGCTAACGAGACCCCGGTCCCCACGCTGGACCCGACCGCCACTCTGCACGGTGGACGCGGCCCGCGCCGGCGCCACCGCGCTGCGCCGCGCGCTAAAGTCATACGTAAACAATGGACAAATGGGGCGACACGCGCCCGGTTAGGTTCATATTGTCATCTACCTCCCGACGCCCGGCGGCAGGCACCTGGCGCCTCCGCCACTGTCTGACCTCGCCGGCTGCCGGGCGCAGTCACGAGCCGTCTTCTAACGGCGGCGCGGCGGGCGTTCGGCTCCCGCCGGCGGCAGTCAGTCCGCGGAGGAGCACTCCACGGCGCTGGCGTCACCGGAGCGTCTCACGGGCTGGGCGCAGCGTCCGCCAGTCGGCGCCACCAGCGCGCCCCGGAGCCGGCCCGCTCGCGCCGCCGCGCCCTCGCACCACTAGCGGCCCGGTCCCACACGCGCCGCGGCTAGCCTACGTAATGCAATCACAATCTGCGGCCGGGCGGGGCGGGCGGCCTCGGTCGGTCCCGCGCCGGGCGGCCGCACGTAGCCCGCGTCTGTGCTGCCGGCGCCCGCGGCAGGCGCGCGGCGCGCGCCGGCGTGCATTATGGCTGGAAGAGGGCGTCGATGTTGGCGAAGGCACAGGCGCCGAGGCCGGCGCGGGCCATGAGCGCCACCAGCTCCTTGCTGTGTGAGAGGGCGACCTCGAGCGGCGGCCGGCGCGGCAGGTTATGCGAGCCTGCGGAACACGCGGCGCCGGCCGTCAGCGCACGGGAAACAATGGCTGTCAGCACGCGGGAAACCTCGGCCGTCAGCACGCGGGAAACACCAGCCAACAGCACACGGGGAAACACCGGCTGTCTGCACGCGGGAAACATCAGCCGTCAGCACGCGGGAAACACTGGCCGTCAACACACGGGAAACACCGACCGTCAGCACGCGGGAAACACTGGCTGTCAACACACGGGAAACACCAGCCGACAGCACAAGGGAGACACCGGCCGTCAGCACGCGGGGGAACACCGGCTGTCAGCACGCGGGAAACACCGACCGTCAGCACACGGGGAGGCACTGGCTGTCAGCACGCGGGAAACACCAGCTGACAGCACGCGGGAAACACCGGCCGACAGCACAAGGGAGACACTGGCTGTCAGCACGCGGGAAGCACCAGCTGACAGCACGCGGGAAACACCGGCCGTCAGCACAAGGGAGACACCGGCCGTACACGGGAACGGGTGGCCAACGGCTGTCAGCGGGACTGTGCAGCGGACCGCCACGGCCACGTTGCACGTGGAGTTTGGCACAACGTGCGAGACGACGTGCTTCAAAACGCAGCATCGCTAGACGATACCGTTTGTACAAGGCATAGATCGACGGTTAAATCGCTGACTCCACATGGCATAGTCAAGACGGTTGTTCAGGTCGAGGAAAATCCAGCCCGTTAGTCAACTCTCCGATGACAGCTCCAAACAGCACAGCTATTACGAACTATCATGGGAGTGCGTACTATCGATCTATTTCCAATTCATATACCTTGTAATTTCGAACCCAATTGCAGCTAGAACATTCCAAGTCACAATGCGCACATGGCTCAACATCCAGTCCCAAATGACTTTCCTCAGGACCAGAGAACACCTGACAATGAAAAGGCAAATGCTGTGCCACGAATAGGCGTTAATAAATACTTTTAACGTTACAAGAATGAGCAAATTATCAAGAATGTCACCTCCCCATTAATCCACCCGCACATGCAGCACCAGCGCACGCCCTCGGACTTCCCGTCAGCTATATACATCACGGATACCTTCCTTTCGTCTCATCAGCCCTGGCATGCAACTATGCCATGCAATCACATCAACGCATTTCTCTCCATGTCCAAACCCTTCTAGTGAGAGCGCTCGTGTTTTGATCATAAGTTACGATACACCGCTATGAAAAGCGACACGACAACGGCGAGTCAGCCGTCGGCGCTCGGCCGAGCAGCTGTGAGCTCCAGTGAGAGGCCGGCCAGCTCGGCGCCAGCACAGTGTGCCGTGTGCGTGTGCGGCAGTTACTCAGAATGGCCGAGTTGAGGGCGGCGCAGACCGACTCGCGCTGCACGGGGTCCAGCTGCCACTTGACCGGGCTGCTCCACGGGTCAGCGTACGCCAGCAGGCTGAAGGCGTCCTGCCGGCAGCGCACGAGCAGGCGCGTCACTGCTCCGGCCGCACACTCAGCGGCTGGACACGGCAGGGGCCGACAGAAGCCGGTCACACGCGCGCGCGTCACCGCTCCGGCCCGCACACTCAGCGGCTGGACACAGCAGGGGCCGACAGAAGCCGGTCACACGCACGCGCGTCACCGCTCCGGCCCGCACACTCAGCGGCAAGACACGGCAGCGGCCGACCGAAGCCGGACACACGAGCGCGCGTCACCGAGCCGCGACGGGGACTCAAACCACACACCGAGGGCCGGGTGGTGACGACTTCCGACAACTGGATACAGCCACGGTCAGAGTCGGCAGACGGGCCTCCGGCGGGCGCAGCGCTTCCTACAGGCCAGGAGTGAGCACTCCGCGGAGCACTCCTCACCGGGGAACACTCCGTACACTCCGAGATCAGGTCACTCATCAGAAACCTCTGATCCATATTCGAACACAAAACCACGGCCACACGAATGTATCGAAGGTATCCCTTACCCATATCAAACGGAACTCGACGCAGTCGATCTTCCCAGCCCCAACGCCCGGTGCTTCTGGTTCCGAACACACCGCTACTTGACAATCGACGCCCGCACGGGGCTGCCGGTGGTCAGCCGCGGTTGTCGCGGTCTTGACCCCGCCGCCGCCTACCTGCAGCAAGTTCTTGTTGTAGTCGCTCTCGCCCTGCTCGCTACGCAGCCGCAGGTAGAACAGCTGCAGCTCGCGGCCAAACTTCAGCACCTTCTCCACGGCGGTGTTGCTGCCGCCGCACAGCGCCCGCTTCTTGGCGGTCGACTCGACCTCGGCGGGCCGGTCCACGTCTGGACGGACAGGGCACAGACGGCGGCGAGGGTTACACAGCGCCCGCTTCTTAACGGCCGACTCGACCTCGGCGGGCCGGTCCACGTCTGGACGGACAGGGCACAGACGGCGGCGAGGGTTACACAGGCGCGCCGGACACGTCCAGCAGCAGTCTGCCGGCCACCGGGCTCCACCCACGGGCTCAGCCCTGGCCACATCGTCACGACGACTGGACTCCTGATGAGGCAACAAATGCAGCTGTCGAAGTGGGGGGATGGGGTTCGCGTTGGGGTTTGGGCGGAGGGGGGCAGCAGCACGCTGACGCGGTTCACGCGGGCGGCGGGGTCCGGAGCGGGCCGGCGCATCGGCCGGGACGCACCCATCTCCTCGTCGGCGTCGGGCGCCGTGTGGCCGTTGGAGAAGCCGTTGCTATGGCTGCTGTCGTCGCCGCCGGCGTTGTTGGCGTTCAGCTCGGCCTCGGAGAGCGTGCGCGTCGACTGGATCACCGACGTCTGGATGGCCCGCTGTTCGGACACCTGCCGGCCCGGCGGCGCCGTCAGCACCCGCTCGCAGGGCGACGGTCGCGAGCAAGCCCACCACGAACCGTAACACGGCGACGCACAGACACGGGGGCAGCGGGGGGGGGGGGGGGGGGGGCTGCTCTGGGGCGGTGCCGTCAGCACAGGGGAAGGGCCATTCAAGCTTTGCGATACAGCTGCGGAATCCGCTGCAGCTTTGGCAGCCACCGGCTTATGCGGACTAGAGGTGTCGCTTTTAAGCTCTTTTCACCAGCGCGTTGCGGGCGTGAGGGCTCAAATGCAGCACCTCCAGTCTACAACAGCTGACGACTGCAAGATACGCGGCAGATTCTGCGACCAGCCCGCCATAAGAAAGCAGACCTTAAACCGGGAGGGGGGGGGGGGGGGGGGAGGGCGCACAAAGAACCGCGCAAACGCGAGGCCGTTTGCAGAAAGACCGCCCCCTGGCAACATGGGCCAACGAGGAAGACCGCCTCCTGGCAACGGCGCCGGGACATAACCACACGGCGACCGTGAAGACTGCACTCCACTCTGGCACAGCCAGCAGCGCAGCCAGAGGGACACAGGCGAAGAGCTGGACCCTGGCAGCTCCACCAGCAGGTACCAAGGCCGTGCCAGAGGTACAGGGATGTGGAGCAGCAACGGAGCCTGCAGTCAGCAGGAAGGGCGCCGCGCCCTTAAACGCGTGAGACTCGGGACAACTGAGAGACCGCGCCCGTGCACAGGCCAGCAAGGGATCCCGCGCGCCCATCCGCCCGTGAGTGTGGAAAACCGAGGGCCCCTCCCGCGTCCGTAAGACACGCGTGACGTTTGAAAGGACGCACCTACGAACACCGTGACAAGCACGGATTCCGCGCGACCCGGCAGGAGAGAATAACTTACAGTGGGGAAGGGGAGAGGGTGTGCCCCTCCCCTGCTGCCTACCAAGGTGAGCCAGAAGCCATCCATTGTGTCTTGACACACCTCACCGACCGGTTACCTGCGGTGTGATTTACATACTTCCGCCAGGTGGCGATGGCGCAGTTTTGAAACACCTGAGCTACCCGACCGCTGCCAGTCATGTCAATGCACCCGCTCTAGGGGCAATTCCGACCTATCTCTCTCTTGAAAGAGCGTCGGGTCACAAGATAACCATGAAAGTCACAATGGATAGAAAATGCGCCCTTAAATCTGGATAAAATGCAGTGAGCGTGAAGGACTGAGTGTTCCGAGTTTCCGAAGCGGTGTCCATAACATGCCGCTGTGGACACAGCTTCGGCACGCTCCAGCCAGCTGTGTCGATGGGAGCCGTGTAGCCACGCAGTTAGTGCGCGCACCCGCGGCCCAAATGATCACCGACGACATACTCGGTTGGGATTATTGCTACGAAACATTCATAAAAAATCAATGCTATATCTCGGCACGCTAACGAAATTTCTCCACCCGGCGGACGGAGCTGCTCCGTCACGGTCTGGTAACGCCGCTGACGAACAGTGGGTCGGCGCCAACCAGCCGCGTCTGGTAACACGGCGTGACGACACGGCGCTGTTAAATCCGCCACAGCGTGGCCCACTGTCGTCAGCAGCCGACGAGCAGCAACGTCAGACAGCAGCTGCCCGTGGATATCTCTCTCCCTCTCTCCCCAGCCGCGTGCACCGGTCCACCACCGTCGGACCACCTACGCCGGCGTCGGCAGCCGGCACCGGTGTAGCACCGCCGCTAGCGCACCTCACATGGGCCTGGCGGGTCCCGACGCCACACTGACCTCCGAGTCGGAGCCGTTGACCATCTCGATGAACTGGCGGACGCGCAGCAGGAACAGCAGGCTCTGCTGCTTCTCCAGCAGGCCCGGGTACAGCCGCTGCGTCAGCTCGATCGCCTCACCCATCCGGCCGGCCAGCACCAGCCTCTGAATCTCTGCCAGACACCGTCGACACGGCTCACATGGCCGGCACAGTGTGACGTACGCTCACCTCGACACGATCGATAGCTCACATGGCCGACACAGTGTGACGTATGCTCACCTCGACACCATCGATGGCTCACATGGCCGACACAGTGTGACGCATGCTCACCTCCACACGATCGATGGTTCACATGACCGACACAGTGTGACGCACGCTCACCTCGACACAATCGATGGCTCACATCACCGACACAGTGTGACGCATGCTCACCTCGACACGATCGATGGCTCACATCGCCGACGCAGCGTGACGTATGCTCACCTCGACACGATCGATGGCTTACATCGCTGACACAGTTTGACGTATGCTTTCCCCCAGACGAGCAACAATCAAACCTCGAATGTAACGTCGTCGCGGCAGCGTACCACAACGCTTGCCCAAAATATCGTGAAAGCGTATGCGCATTGTATACAACTTACCTCTAGCCGAAAGATATTATGTTTCACTCCTGTTTGCGTACAGATGATACACATGCAACGCCTTATGGAATGGCAAACCAACACATCTAAGCCTCAACAAGGCGCACCATTTCAGCCATACCAAACGCACGTCCGCGGCCGCACTCACTCTGTCGACTCTTGATGGACGCGAGATCCTCGTCGAAGGAGATACCCGTACTGTTCGCGAAAGCCTCTGCCGTGGAGCAGTATCCGTGGTGCACCAGGTACGTTTGTACCATTCTGCGGCGAGCGAGCAATGGGCAGCGTCAGCAGCCAGGTCGCCTGCCCAATCCCTCCCCAACGGCACCGAGGTCGCCTGCCCAACCCCTCCCCAACGGCAGCGAGGTCGCCTGCCCAACCCCTCCCCAACGGCAGCAAGGTCGCCTGCCCAACCCTTCCTCAACGGCAGCGAAGTCGCCTGCCCAACCGTTCCCCAACGGCAGCGAGGTCGCCTGTCCAACCTTCCCCAATGCAAGTACGGGCACTGATACAGAGAGCAGCGGACACTCACGGCGAAACCTGGTGTTGAACCTGCCTCTGGGGACGGCGAACGAGTCTGTGAGCTCATGGCTTTATTTCAGACGACCCAAAGGGAGTCAAGAGTAAAGGGCACACGTACGTTGGCGAGTGTGCCGACGCGCCGACGCCGTTTCGCCTGCGACACTTAGTGTTGCAGCGTGCCTCATATGTCCGGTGTAACCTGCCAGTGCAATGTTGCAGCCCTGCAAGCGGAGCCGCGCGTGTGGAGCGCAGCAGCTGCACAGTGTCACAGTGAGCCCCTATGCGGGATGTAGCTCACTGACGCAGCGTCACAGGGAACCCTTCCGGACGGGTGTCACCCGCCGGTGTCGCGTTTCAGGCCGCCCCAAATAGGAAGTTTACCTACCTGAGGACGACAGAGCTCCATTGCCCCCCCCCCCCCCCTCCCTCAGTTGTGGAGCGCAGTCGAGGTATGCAGCGCTCCAACTCATCTCCGCCTGGTGGCAGTGTCGCTCCCGCCTGTCGTGCGACACAGCCGCCCACCAGCGGTGGTGAACGTGTGTCCCACCTGTGGAGGGTGTCCTGCCAGCAGCTGAGCGCGTCCGGCACGGGCAGGCTCTGGATGGTGGCGCGCACGCGCGTGCGCAGCTCGCGCATCATGTCCTCGATGTCGTACACGAACGGCGACTGGCCGAAGTTGGCGTCGATCATCTCACCGGGCGTCTGCAGACCGACCGTCGGGTACAGGTCCGGCTGTAACAGCGGGGTCAGGTCAGACCGAGGTACAGGTCCGGCTGTAACAGCGAGGTCAGGTCAGACCAAGGTACAGGTCCGGCTGTAACAGCGAGGTCAGGTCAGACTGAGGTACAGGTCCGGCTGTAACAGCAGGGTCAGATCAGACCGAGGTGCAGGTCCGGCTGTCAGCGGCGACAGCAGGGAGCAGGGGGAGGGGGTATACCAGGATACCAACCGGGCCGTGCAACGAGAGCAGGAGGCCAGCGCAGGGCACAGGACCAACCATATCTGTCTGGTATGGACAGCAGGAGGTCAATCATACAACTAAACAGCTCGGCATAGGCAGCTAAGGGTGCGGAACACACCTGCACTACGTTCTAAAAGCCACACCATAATCCAAAATACAACGCCTAGAAGAAGCCAGACCATAACGCCGGTCCGACCGTAACAGCTAGGTGGGCCAGACTAGAACATACGTCCGAAGGTAACAAATCGGACAGAACGATAGCACGGAGTAGAGGGGCCCGTGGGACACGCCTCAACCAGAGGCAGCGGAAACAGCCAGCTGGACGAATGGTGACAACAGGCGGGGCATGACGCTGGAACAGCAGCGCAGCAGGGCACGGCGCTGGAACAACAGCGCAGCGGGGCATGGCGCTGGAACAACAGCACAGCGGGGCACGACGCTGGAACAACAGCGCAGCGGGGCACGACGCTGTAGCACCACCACAACCAGGTCCAACGGCCTGGACGCTGCCATACGGACGTAAGCTACGACACCATCCACGCCGGAGCAAGGTCCATGTGCCGCTGATGGACATCCGCCTGCGTCATTACACGTCACAGCAGGCTCTGCCGGACGCATGACTTTTCGTTTGCGTGCTGCGACGCCATGATCGGCACGGGCCGTTGCCCGTTGGTAACCATTCCTTTCCGCCTCCCTCCGTGAGCTGTGAAGGCTACAGCTAGCGCGTGGCCGGCCTGGCGCGCCTCACCCTGAGGTCTGTGAAGGCTATGCCCAGATGGTGGCCGTTCTTGGTGTAGAAGCACGTGTTGTCGACAAGGTTGATGCCGCAACCAATGACGTCTCCCGTGGTGAAGGTCGGCCCATACGGCTGCCCCGTGGTGGTTGAGTTGAAGGCGTACCCATCGTCGCCATGGTAACCGTACGAGTATTTCTCCCAGCCTGAAAGTGTGTTGGCGTATAACAACGGCGCTTCATAATCCCCACGCGGCGTGCGACAATTACGATAAAAGCACAGAGTAAACATTCATGATTGACTGCGACGTGAATACGTATCAATGTGAGGAAAACATTAACAACATTGAAAATTCGTCTCATTTCCATGAGAACACTTCGAGTTTGAACAGATCTGACCACCAAGACATAACTGAAGCAGGAGTGCATTGAACTTCCAGAAAGAGAGAGAATAGACAAATGCGGCTGTAGCGTCGAAAGTGTACGACCTTTTAAGCCATTTCAGTCTCCACCACAAATGAAGCCCGCCTAATACAAGATCGCCCACACTGAGCCTCGCATACCGTCCATGAGCACCTCGTTTGTTAGTTCGCCTCGCGTGATGACCGGCGTCAGCGACCGACAATGGCTAGTGTAACGCAAGCGTTTCTAAAGCACAGACCGGACCACACAGCAATGGTATCGCGTGACGCGTCGGGGCACAGCCGTCCGGCGGAACATGGTTGCCCGGCACGCGGCCGCGCCGCGCCGGAGGCGGCGCAGCACACACACACGGGCGTACCTGGCAGACGGTTGAGACTGGTTCCCTGTTGGGACAGGCCAATTCCCATGTACCTGTAACGGACGGAGCGTGACCAGTCAATGGACCACCCGGTCATTACCAGGCAGCTGGTGATGCTCCAACGATGCATTACCAGCTCAGGGACAACGGAACACAAGACTAATGGCGATCGGCCTGCTCGGTTCTGGAGAGGCGCGGGTTTTACGTCGCACCTGGCAGCAGTGTATGTAGTACAGGCTCGTTGTTGATTATGCACATAGGGGTCTATACTCCAACCTCCACATGCAAAGCATTACGCTGATACCGAGACTAACTGTTTAAACTGAATCCAGGCTTCAAAGCACTGTTCCTCATTTCAAAATATTTATGAAAGCAACAAATATGATGCAGAAGGCTCACTTGCAACGAATGGTATACTTCCAAGTGCAAAAGACCGCTATTTATAACACAAGTTTACTATTTAAAAAATACACTCTTTGATCCGCTATTGTTTGATTACGTCACGGAACGCTGCTATAACGTTAGAGTCGTTAGCCTGGCCGTGTCAGCCTTGTCGCTGTAGCGAACGACGCGACTCATCTCTGGTACTTCTACGCACCGCACGATGGCGTTGGTGGTCTAAGCGTGAAAATTTACCTCACGGGTGGTATGCGCGTGCGTTTTGGCCTTTCTTGTCATAACCCTGCATATTTTCCGCGGTGGTATGTTGTTAATGTCATTTGCATTTTCGTTTACGACACTGTTATTACGCCATTCGATTCTCAGCCTCATACTCGTCATAACCAGTAGGTAGTACTTGAGAAATGTAATTGAGAAGCCCGTCATCTTATTCCCTTTCTAGTTTCATCGCACACCATCGCGACGTACCGCTTATCCGGGATAGGCTGCATGCGCCAGCCACATGTGGGCTTAAGTGCCCCTTCATTGGGATTGCATTCGAGCGCCGGCACATACCCCGTAGAGGGGTCCCTTTACGGGCGAAGCCTCAACGGATGGGTCCCCAGGTGCATGTAGCCCTGTTCCACTCATTAATTTTCCTTACCCCATAACTGGCCGAAAACGCACACGTCAAACAACCAAACAAAATAAAAAACGTGATCCAGACCTACAGCCGAAAGTTAAATCCCGTTGTGTTAGCCAATTGTCATCTATCGTTGGTGCATTTGGTGCTTAATCAATGAAAACACGAGTATTTCAGCACCCATCGGGCATGTTGGGCATTGGGTATATTGGGCATGAGGACGAAATAGTCATTAAGGTGGGGGTATTTGGGTGACGTTTCTATGACGACACATATGTCTGGAAGACTTCCAAATGGGCGGTGCGTCACAGGTTGCAAAAGTTCACGTACGTCGTGCTAAACAAAAGAGTTTGAAGTCTTAAAAGGGCCTGGCTGCAAACTGCAAGAATGGTCTTGAACATTGCTTTGTCAGTTCAAAACCCCGCACAAAAGTGGAAAAGACCCCTTAAGTCGACTTTCATTAAAGTAAAAAAGCATGTGACGCAATTCAAGAAATGATTCGATGGGGTGGCTTTTTGTGACAGCAGTTTTATACCACACAGTCTTTCATGTTCCCAAAAATCGCATAACCATAATTTTCATAGCACTACATCGAAATATCCCAGCTTCTCTTCCCTGAACACATGACACGTAATTGCAGAACCATACCTAACGTTACTATTTATACCTCTTCCTCGGTCGACTCATCGGTGATCTCAGCCGGCATGAGGCTGACTCAACTCCCGGCTATGAATCGCAAGCATTTCAGAAAGGAATGTTTTAACCTATAATAAACGAGCTTTGGCTGATCACAGAGTCCACTTAGGCCCCACGGAGAGCCAAGCACAAGTCAAGAGAGCCAAGCAAGAGCCAAGCAAGAGCAAAGCACAATTTCGGAGCTGAGATGAGCATAACGTGCTTGACAGCAGGCGTTACGGCTACAGAAATGAACGAGATGCCTTTCTTTTTCGTTCATCTTTTGTGTTAAATACATCTACTTTTCCTGTTCTCATAAAAAGCTGAGTTCCACACTTAAAAAGGTACGAAATCGATACCTAGGTGGGGAGAAAGAGATCTGTTAAAAACCTTTCCTAAATTCTGAGCAATGACATTCGTGAATTATCTAAATAAATTCGTCACATGCCATAATCCAGCATGCAATATCATTATTTCTCCCGCCGTCGCTAATACCAGCCACAAGAAATCGGCTACGACACCAATCGCCGGTCCACAGCGGCAGCCGGCAAGCACTCTTGACCCACCAATGCGCGCTTCCGACGAGCACGCCGTCTTGGTGCGGCCGGGCGCAGAGCCATGTATACGCTCGAAACCCCGACCGGACCGGGCATGCAATCGGGCACAACACGCGCAGTCGTGGGCCCACGCAACCGGGCCTTGCGTAACACGCGCGGTCGCGAGCCCACGTTACCGGCCCGCGGAGCTGCTGTCCATTCCTCCCAATAGCTCCTGGCTGCGTGACGGAGCCGCCAGAGACTGGCGGCCGCCGGCAGGCGACGGAGCGTGACAGAGCTGACGGCCTCGACAGCGGACGCCCGCCGCCCGGAAACAGCATCACAAGACGAACCGGGGGACCGCTTACAGGCTGACGACGGCACGGCGGCACAAACTGACATGAACGATTCCGTGCCGCGAATGCATCTGCAGCTTTATAACAGATGCATATGATGCCTGCGGCTGCCTCCCGACTAGTCTGAGCCAACAAACGTTTGCTCGTGTCTGCTGCAAAGTCACGATCCAAGCCAAGCCCGGTTCACATCTCGCAAGATCAGTCGCCCGCACGCCGTCTGTGACATTGCCTGAAATAGCAGGCGCTTAAAGCCCGATCCTCCCTGCCAAACCGACGGACAAATGAAACTTGAACAGCTTTTACCGGACTTTTCGACGCCTTGCCAACGACCCCTTCGACAGTAGTATTGCTGTTGCTTATGATATTGGGTTGTTGTGTTCCACAAGTGACTTACCAAGCGTTATGTACATTGTATTGTGAGGAGTGGAGGGGGAGGAGAGAGGGAGGGGATGGGTGGCCATCTTTGTTTTTTTCAGTCGAAGCCTACAAGACCATTCTAAATTTTCAGAAAACGGGGGGGGAGGGGGAGCGGACGCAAGACTGAACTCCATCCCCTTCCGGTCCTCATGGCCCTGGTGGCACACGCGATCAACAGCATATTCCCACCCCAACACACGCGACTGGTAACAATCAATCTCCTCCGTGGCCAAGGCCGCTAGAGGGTTTTCCAATCATCTCCCACTCTGGCAACACAGGTAGAACACAATCGACGACCAGGCTTCGTTCGCATACAACGACGCCTTCCGAGTGCGAACTTCGGCGGTCCCGCATGTCGAGCGGCCTTCCGGGGACACAGCAGAGACATGCCACCGCCCGGGCCGCGTTCAACGGCGGGAGCAGGTGGGACCAGCGCGAGCTCCTGAGCGCCACGGCCCGGCCTCGCACGGAGCCACTCGCCCTCGGTGGAGCACTTTAATCAACACGTGTGGCCCTCGAAACGCGTGCTATAAATATCCAGCGGAATTTCTGTTCGGCGGGATGCGCGTCAGCCTGGTTTAATACTTGCACTACTCCGCTGTCGGACCTCGTCGGACGTCGTCGGACCCTAGCTCCGCACCGCGGGACTGGAAGGAACCATATGTGCAGCTCCGCACTGCGTGTGCGGGGCTCGTAGGAAACATGTGCGCAGACCCGCACCGCGTGTGCGGGGCCGGAAGGTCCAGGGGCGCAGACCCGCACCGCGTGTACCGGGCTGGAAGGCACCAGGTGCACCGCGTGTACGAGGCTGGAAGGTCCAGGGGTGCGGATCCGCACCGCGTGTGCGGGGCCGGAAGGCCCTGGGGCGCAGCTCCGCACCGCGTGTACGGGGCTGGAAGGCACCAGGTGCACCGCGTGTGCGGGAGCTCGAAGGGACCAGGTGCGCACAGTTCGGTCATGGGTAAATGTCGACGCATCCCACCCGGCCTGTGTGTGTCATTGGGACTTTACGACGCACTCAGCTGCTGAGGTTATATGACGTCACCTGCCTCTCACCTTGGCAGAAAGCGCCGACATCGCGGGGAATCGAACCCCGTACCTCTGGTTTCCCAGACGCGCAGCGGTTAACGCAAACGCGTCAACTATCGGCACCCCTCCCACCCAGCCTATGAGCACCTCGACTTTGGAGGGATGCGCATGCGCCGTGCGACATGATACAGGCGTATCACTCCGCATTTATGACCCCTATGGCATACGCCAAAGCTTATTTCAGGCAGTACTTAAGTCCACTCGAACCCCTCCAACCGATACACTCTTATTCAGATTACTTCACGACGCGTGGAACTGGTCCACCCGCTGGCGCTGCATTGCGTCACGCCGAATGAACCCGGGAAACTAACGCTCAGCCGCTGGCAAGGCTTGACCTCACCACGTCACCAGTCCCGATGACAGGCGCCACCCTCGGGCTACCGCGAGCCAGAGCTCGGGTCTCTATCACCCTGCGCTCGGGCCTACTACCCTGAGCTCGGGTCTACTCGCCCGATGCATTCCCCCGTAGAAACAGGTCGGCAGTCCCCGCCACGCGCAGATCGGATAGCATCGGCAATGCCGCTTGTGACGGATTCTCCCTGTTAGGTCCGGGCAGGCACAACAGCCCACAAAATCGATCATCAAACTTTGTTCATGTCTCTAGCAGCGCATTCCAAGCTATACTATACAAATGCCTATAAAAAAACAGGTGAACTTAGTTCTTTTTTCAGTCGCTAAGCGCTAATGTTCAGAGTAAGTACGTAGGTAGACCGAACCTAGCCTGGCACGAGATAGCAATTCAACGCTTGGTCTGGCTGACACGCTCTCCAGATGTTATCTCTGCGACCACTGATTGTGGGCCCACACAATTTTAACAACAAAAGACTCGACTCCTTTAAAGTTGCGCGCCATCATTCGATGGGCACATACGTGAAACATGTAAGGTCTTTCATCGGATTTCCTTATATCACGTTATCACCACAACTTAACCTCCCCCATTCGGTTAACGCACAGTAAGATTTCCAAACTGAAAAACAACAACCGCGGAAGGCAGATGAAACCAAATCAAATTTGTCTGTCCCCGTGGCTCAGCTGGTTAGAGCGCCTGCCCTCCGATCCACCAAACCGTGGCGATCCACCCATGCGTGGCGGGGTGGGGTGGGTTCGAGTCGCTTTAAGCGCTCACTATTTGCCCTTGACAGTTAAGGCCTGCGGCCGGTGGCAGCGGCCACGCTAAAGGTCAGGTGACGCCAGAGGACAGGACGGACCGTGCCCAGCATTGCGCATAAACTTCCGCTACCAAAGTCTGCCGTTCACCTGGAATTGCGCGATCAGATGGTAGAAGTCAGGGCTCACTCAACAAGCACTGCTAAGCGTGAGCTCTGATCCCAGAAATACATCCATATAAAGGGTTCGGATGAATTCTTTTAAAAAAAAAACCGAAGCCAGATCTTAGCTAACCAGCTTCGCGGCGAAATGAGAGCAACATATCTCGACGGAGAAGCAGACAGACAACCGCATAGTCACGTGTGTCGAACTTTGCTGAGGTATGCGCTTCCGGACGCGTGCCATGAATGCGCTCATTTCCGAGAGATTTTTAAGGAGTGATATCATCTCCAAGTAGTCACACAAGATCAAGCTGTGCCTGCCAAATCGTAAATCAACGAGAATCCACTGCTTTTATTGACTGAGCTACCATTCCTTGCCAGACACACCACCAGCCAATTTCAAAGCAGCACTATTCGTAAATTTCTGTTTAAAAGTAAGATCAGTGGACCTCCCTGTGGTGAGCCCTCGGAAAAGCCTGCTACACTGGTGGGTTATTGGATGGGTCAAACCCCTCATGGATCAAACCCCTGAGTAGTGGTCACCACAGGTGCCTGGCTCCAATGGCATGGTTTTTTTTTTTTGCCACAATCTACACATCAATTGATAACTCTTATCTGCCATGGCTTTGCTTATCTCAAACTGCACAGTGCATCTTACTGCAGCTGATGAAGCATACAGCTGCCATGTTTTACATGATGACTATCATATAAAAAATGTATCTGGTCCTGACAAAACCTTCATCAATGCAATTTGACCCCAGGCTTATGGGTCATGATCTCAGTAAGGGTGAGGATGAGTAGTTCATATCTCAACAGCTTGTGTTGGGCTTCCATTAAATTGCTTAACACTTCCAGTAAAAATATTCCCAATAAACTGTAGCATATCAGAACAACCACAGCAGCACATCTTGCTCATAACATCCACAGTTAATGCAAATGTGTTCTAGGAAACAGAACAGTGCTGGCAAAATAACACATAGTGGTGCATTTGGGTAAGTTCTAGACATCAATCAGTACTGACAAAACACTTGAAGGTTAGGCAGAGCAACTTGGTCCATTGGCCTTCTGTCCATTCTTCAACTATCAATTCACAAACTTACTTTGAATAAGCTACCGATGCATGCTTTCAGTACCTAGTTACTAGACTTACCCATCCCTTCCTTTGCTGACAATCTTCACTTCAAAGTAATACAGTCCACACGCAGGAGGGATTGGGTGACTAGCACGTACACTTGCTGCATCTTTGTTTGTCTTGCCGTTGCCTGAGGAAAGAAACACATCACAAACTGTGAAGGCTGCAGAACAAATGATGAGCTACACTGTATCCTAATAATGTATCACATACAAAGCTGTGGAAATAGAAGCTTTCCAAAGCCATTATGCAGAACAATGACACTTCATGTAATACCCACAGGTTTAATACTCACTTTAGTACCGCTGGGGCTCAAGCCCCCCCCCAATTGGAATCTCCACCCATGCATATCTGGATGATGCATCATATGAATGATCAATGGTGACTTCAATTAAAATGGTGATAGCAGGTAAATTAACACACAGCCACCCCACCAAGCCAAAAAAATATTCATAAGTAGAAAGTGCTCATCCAAACCAGCAAGTGCACACACATAACAGCTCCACTTTGTAACTCTTGAAATGGATTGTGTACATACCAGTTTGAATGATCCACTCTGATACACTATCAATACAGCTAATCTGATATATATGCAAAAATAGGATTGACCATGAAGGACAGTCTCCTTTCATTCACACATAGGAAACCACACAGCTTGACTTGCACAAATATCCAGGATACTCTCAATGGTTTAAATATGGAGTAAACAGCTGGCACTACATATTCAGAAAACAATGTTTAAACCATACCTTTGCATTTCGTGTTTACTGTTATCCCAAAGTTTTTGCTCAAACCTCTGGCCATCATATAACTAACCATGAATTGCCTTCAATTCCAGCTGCTTCTACTGGGATTGTTTTGTTAGAAAGCTGGACAATGATCATCCTTCATTGCACTGGATCCCAAGTCACATTTCTGATATGCATTATGGATGAATTTAATTTAAAATGACTGCTGGCCTAAAAATACAAGCTTAGTTTATAACACACCAAATACTAGGCAAACTTGAGCATAACATAGGCCTTTATTAATTTATCAGCAAGTTATCATGGGTCATGGCAAACTTATCAGGTACCGATGCAAATGCATGGCATACTGCATTAAATCCCAGTGTTTGCTTTGGTACATGCAATGCATCAGTTGGCTCATTTAGAAGACTGGCCAGTAAGGAGGCTATCCATTCAAAGTTGTTGATAGAACAGGGGTGAATGCACAGTGAATATGCAATCCATAATTATTTTGGAATGCATTAAGTATTGATGGTGACAATGGTGCAAATTTATTAACACTCATACTAATTTTGCTCAGACCCATACAAATGCACATATGAATGATAGAGATTAAACAATATGCATGGATACCAACCTTTGTAGTGGGCCCTTAAGTTATTCTGTGTCAGGCCAACATCTTGAAATTTATCTTTCTGGCTCCAGCAAGTTGGCAACGGAGTTTCCTTGGTGTCCACCATGGGATACAGCTGTTTAAGGCGATCAGCGAACTGATCCTGACCGATTGCACAGAGCTCCATTTCTGTCCTTTGTGCGCACTCAGAGTTACGCACGGTCCAAATCCGAGTTTTACCAGGACACAATGACGAGCGATGGCCACTAGGCCTTTTTCCTCACGCAGTCGTCACCCTTTTGGAAACGAATCTTGCAAACAGAGCAGATCAATGGTATCGAAACAAACTAAGAATTGAAGTTGCCTCTCCTACAACCAGACGAATCTTCTGAACACCATCCAACTTGTTTTTATTCTGTCACTCATCACACGCGCACCACTTCCCCACATACACGACCATTCGCAACAGCTGACTGGCAGTGGCGTTTCTCGCACGGTCACAGCTGTTCCCGTGCACACAAAGAATATACTGCGTCATGATGCCAGAGCTGAATACATTTAAAACAATTCCGTTTGCTGGATTGCTTGTTACCTACATAGCCCTGCTGTGCATCGGAACCATATATTTTGCATACGGTTTTCTAATCTTAGTTTTTTTCTCATGAATCCATGCCACAAATGCGCATCGGACATGGTAAACGACGACCACGCGATCATTTCCCGCTTATCTATCGTCGGAAAACGACGCGTTGCATCGCATGTACACTCTGCAAATGACCGGGTTTCGGTATCAGAGTCGCGTTGAGCCCGCTGTGGCAGACTTGAACGAATGGTACAGTCATTTCCATGCACACGCGAGGGCAGGAGCGCACCCAGCGCCAAATCAGTAGGGTGAGCAAGGTGCCTCACAGTAAACGCGACCATCCTTCCCAGTTTGACAATCGCGCTACAAAGCAGGAAGGTGCATGAATTGTGCGCATTCAGGTCCCTCCAGCCAGAGCCTGGAACCCGGCAGACAGCTCGACACCGATTCCGGAGGATCGGATTCCGCTCTCCGTCGCTTGGATGGGAAAGGACGTAACGTCGCTTCGTTGTATACTCTGAACGCGTTGGTTTCTAATGCGACATTGACTTCGTGATCTGAGACTCACGAGCGGGTCCGACAACAGACCAGGGGGCTCGACTAAAGACTCACGAACCGGGCCGACACCGGACCAGGGCGCCCGGCTGACTCCGACACCGGACCAGGGCGCTCGGCTGAGACACTCACTAGCCGGTCAAACACCGGACCAGGGCGCTCGGCCGACTCCGACACCGGACCAGGGCGCTCGGCTGACTCCAACACCGGACAAGGGCGCTCGGCTGACTCCGACACCGGACCAGGGCGCTCGGCTGACTCCGACACCTGACCAGGGTACTCGGCTGAGAGCGGTAGCCCTGGGAAGTTTGAAAGCTAATTTCAAGTCCCAAGTTGGGCCTTTTTACCGATGTTTCTTAGGCGCGTGACTATCACGCTCCGGCATGCCAGATACTTGGGAATGCATCTCTTCCGACCTGAACAATCTTGCCTAACCACCGCCCGGACCAGCACTCGCGTCTCCGCCGGATATCCGACCAATCACAGCCCGTGATCAGCTGGCGTCGCCTTACATCAGTGGGTGTCTGCATTGATCACTCAACCGTAACGGACAGCTTGGCCTGTGGATTGCTGGGATATGCAGTGGTCGCCCAGGTTTGGGGAAGGCAAACGTTAGCTGCACGACGTTGCATGGAGAGGAACCGTGGGTTAGCTTTGCTCGCTCTCACACGCAACCCTCCCCATCAGCGCTTAACTGTCGCCAGACAAATCGAGCGGGCCAGGCCATTTTCCTTGGCCTTCCTTGTATAAGTGCAGCCAAAAATTTGCCAGCCCAGACCGCCAGATTCGCCCTGACTCTCCGTGCCCCCCCCCCCCCCCCCCCCGAGAGATTACCTGAGGCGCCACGCTTGTATTACACGTGAGGCACGGCCACTGCTGCACCCATCGCGACCACGCTGCCGCCACCGTCGACAGGCCGCCGTCCTCAGCACTGTCGCGCCTGATCCGGACCGGTGCAGCAGAGCGCCAGCCTGACCGCGCCGCCCATGCTCCCGAGCAGACCAACTCCGCCCGTCATAGCGATCACTGGACAGTTATCCTGTCGAAAATCGTGATGCCAGTCGCAATGGCAACCATTCTGTCGGATCCCGCCGGATGCGATAGTTTCTTGTCAGCGGGACGCATCAATCACCAGTTCAGAGCCACCTCAGGCTTCGGACGTTCTTCTCCAGGCTGGCCAGCGCTTCACATGAGGTAGGCATACGCAACATGCAGAACAGTGAGCGCAGTGCCCCAGGAACACGTAATCTGTTTTCTCACAACAGCACGCGAATGCCAAACGAACGTTAAAGCTCTTACAGTGTATTTCACAACAGAGTTCGCACAACGAACAGCACAGATGCGACAAGGACGAGCGTGATCTACCAGATTTGAGAGAGACTGACCTGAAAGAGAAGAACACAGTGAAAGTGTAGTGAAGAAGAGTGAGGAGCTATCGAGATATTATACGAATAGCAGTGAACAGGCACAAACAACGGCTGGATCCGCCGCTGACATGTAGCTCAAACACTCAAGTCACATTGGCAAGTTCATTGCATTATGGGCCCGAAAGGCATGGGTATCGAACTGAAGCGTTGCGATCGCGCGGGCTGTGGCAGCTGCATGACCACGTGCACGGCCTGCAACGGACTGCACCTCGCCCCTCATGATCCCTCGCCGAGCTCCCGTTTCGGAAGCACTGTCTGATTGGCGTGAACTTTGCCGGAGTTCGGTTAGGCGCAACGCTTCAGCCAAGCCAAGTCCCAAACACGGGCTGCGGATGGATGATGCGATGAGGTATGCCAACTTGTTGTACGTGACCCCCAGCTCGTGATCTTGATCGCAGTCAACCAGGTCCTGATATATGGGTACTGAAGCTATGCCAATATTGTTGTCAGGTCATGCCTAGACAGACACAACGCTCGGCGCATACAGCCTGCACGCATTATGGCATAAACGTGCGAGTGAGAGAACAAGGGAAGCAGCGTAACGAAGCAAACGACACTTGGAGCGCGAGTCTAAGACTAGTGCACAAAACGATGGTATTGTTAAAGCTTTCAGGTAGCATGTTAACGTAAACTAAAGCCGCTCCGACAGCTACGCAAAGCCTGCCAGGAGAAAAGCACGCGCAAGGTAAATACTAATACGAAGCAACCGAGTGCACGCGTGCATAACAACTGATCACAGTGCGTGTAAAAACGCCAATGCTCCTAAAGGGCGGATGTCCTGTAGGTAAAACGTGGCGGACGGAGACGTGACAGACGGCGGCCAGCAGTCAGCCGCCTCAGCCGCGGGGAAGGTACCGGCAGCTCTGCCGCCTCGCACCACATCATCAAGTGTCCTGTCTCTCCTCGCCTCGTTCTGCACATTTTAACCTACGGCAGTTCCCTCCGTGAGAACCACTGAAACATACATTGACTTGGTCCATACAAGAGGTAAGATCTGGATTCGAATTCATCGAGCCGATGACAAAGCCTGCCTGTGCATCAGCTCACACATTGGCCTGTTAATTATTAGAATGGATTGGACGCGTTGTTCTCTAGGACATCCAAATCTAGACACACTTCACCAAGGGAAAGATCACCCTACACCAACCCCTCACCAGATTTCCTGATTAGAAGAGCAAGGAAATGCGTCTTCCATCAGTCACGAAGAAATCTGGAACCCAGATGCTCACGCAAGCCCACTCGGCAAGGACATCATAAGACACCGTTGGCAAGGGAGCGCCCGTCCTATCCAACAACGCGAACGGGCGCTGGTATGCATTCAGCCACGCACATTATGCTCCAATTGGTCTGTGAAGTCTGAGCTCAGATCGGGGAAGATTCATATCTCAGCACATTCGGAATTATGTGGCGTGAGCTTAAGTTCAAGGATGTGCTGCGCTTACGTCCATATAATGGTATGTGGCGATGCTCTGCGGCAATGGGGTGACCTGATGTCTGTGATTGGTTTAAGCTGAGGTAACACATTCTGGGAATTCGAGCATGTCCTTACCATAGCAAGTAATTGTACAGTGTATGTAAATGTGTATGTCAAGTGCATGTACAGAAAACTTCGTTCTCTACATGTGTGTACCTTTTTAAATGTGCCAGTACGTCTAAAATTGTATCAACTATCATTCTCCACACTGCTTTCTGTTCTCACCAACCTCGGATACCGAAACGGAGATTTCTATCTCGCTCCGTCAAAAAACCGCCGGCTCACTCCAGCCACCGCCGGTAAACGGAACATAATGTGATAGCGGGGAAGACGCATGGACATAATACAAAAACAATGGACGGCAATTACTATCAACATCCGTTCGAATCTAGCACGCATCTTGTTTTCACAACGTCAAGGACGGACGGACGAAACAGGCGGTGTGCGGCTTAGACTATGGCCATTTATCAAGAGGTCAAAAATATTTCCATAGATGTCACGTTATATGGGAATGACCTGGTCCAGACGCGCGTCCGGCTTGACTCACTGGAATAACCCCAATCAAACCGCCATAAAGGCAGTGTCAATCATGAGACGCCAGATCTTCGCGGATATTGCCGTTGGAGAATACCCGGACCAACTATCATTTGGCGCCGCTCGCATCGAAACGGTCCCTGACAGGGCGACCACGACCGGATCAGTACGGCAACACGCACCGCGAGGCGTCACAACTCCGAAGGGGCTGGACACCGGCAGGGGACCGGGCAGACGGCCCAGCGAGAACCAACCTAACATACGCCTGGGTCCAGCGAGAACCAACCTCACATACGCCTGGGTCCAGCGAGAACCAACCTAACATACGCCTGGGACCAGCGAGAACCAACCAAACATACACCTGGGACCAGCGAGAACCAACGTAACATACGCCTGGGACCAGCGAGAACCAACGTAACATACGCCTGGGACCAGAGGCCAACGTATACGGGCTACTCAAACAAAATCCAATCCTGGATTGAGGCCGTCACCGCAGAACTTTGTAGCCGCTCTGACAGCAGATTGGACTTACACGAAATAGCTACCAGAAAACAAAACAAAAACCAAACAAACAAAACAAAAACGCTTGAAGTCATACTTTAAAAATTAAAGCGAGCTTAAATCTCGACAAAAAATCGAGAGATGGGCGACAGAAGGTGAAAATGAATGTCACTAAATGCCGAAACGACAATGTTTCTCAAAGAAAACTACGGGACCTTGGTCCAAATGCGAAACCAGTCCGAGGGTTGGCTAGCCAGGCTACGAGGTGATTTCATGACTACACCGCTACACCGTCCTGGTGTGTATCAGAGAGTAAACAAACCTACTAGCCTCAATGGCAGAACGCAAGAGACAACTCAGACGTATGGAAACCACGCCGCCGCTCTCCAGCACCACGCGGCTAGTGCTGACTGTGGCTAGAGGGTGGGCCGTGACAGGTTCGTGGCGCATGGCGACGACCGGCCATCCGGACCAGCGCGGACGAGGAGAGAGCCTCGAGGGAGGGCACGGCGGCCGGGAATCCGAGACTGAGGAGACGACCGGACAAGGCGCCACCGGGGTCCCGAGGAGATCAGCTGCGGGGCGGCTGCGGAGATCTGCTGTGGGAATGTAGGCGACCTCCGCGGACACGCCGGGGCATGCGCAGGGGGAGGCTGTGGGCGGACACCCAGCCGGGACGTGCTGCGGGGAGCCGCGGCGGCCAGCGCGGGCTACGCGTCGGCCGCCTTCAGCGCCATACCCAGGTAGTTGGTCTCGAGCATCCGGGAGCGGATATTCACCTGGGTCCAGGCCTGCGTGGCGGCCGAGACGCGCACCGCCTCCAGCACGGCGGCCACGTACTGGCCGTCCTGGAACGAGGCGGCGTCGGTGAGCGGCTCTCCGTCGGCGAAGGAGTGCGCCACGGCCGCCAGCAGGCGCAGCAGACCGGCGGCGTGCAGCGCCGGCTGCGGCCCGGCCTCGGGCAGCGGCGGCGCCGCCGCCTCGCCCGGCGCCGCCCGGTGCAGCGTCTCGTGCTGGCCGGCGCGGAAGCCGAGCAGGTCGGCGCCGCGCACCGTCAGGTGGCCCCAGTCGCCGCAGACAACCACCTCCTGCTGCAGGCCCGAGAGGTGCGCGTTCAGCGACACCGTCACCAGCGCGCCGCCGTCCATCTCCATCTGGAAGGTGCAGAAGTCGTCGCTGCCCACGTGCCGGATGCCGGCGATCAGGCGCGTCTGGCGCGTGTACGTGCGCAGCGTGCCGTGCACGCGGCGCGCCCGCTGCCCGATCACGTGGCTGACCAGGTCGACCACGCCGCTGCCGATCAGCGAGAGCAGGCCGCCACCCATGGCCGGCTCGCAGAGCCAGCTGTAGCCAGCGCCCTCCAGCAAGCTGCCGCACGTGACGCGCACCTCCACCAGGCGCACGTCGCCCACATAGCCGTCGCGCACGGCCTGGCGCAGCTGGCGCACGGCCGGCAGGTAGCGTAAACCGTAGCCGACCACGGAGAGCAGCGACGGGTAGTACTGCGCCGCCAGCACCATCTTGAGCAGCTCTGACTGGCAGAGGCCAGCCGGCCGGTCGCACACTACGTGCTTGCCGATGCCCATGGCCTTGACGGCGATCTGCGACTGCAGGCTGGGCGGCGAGAGGACCAGCACCAGGTCCACGTCCTTGTGCAGCAGCACGTCATCGATCCGGCTGGTGAAGTAGTCGATGTGCAGCGAGCCTGGGCGGCGCACGGACGGGTGTCAGCGCCATCGGGACGGACTCGGGGGACTTAACGACACGCTCAGCGTCACCGGTCGTCCGACGGCGACACGCTCAGCGTCACCGGTCGTCCGACGGCGACACGCTCAGCGTCACCGGCCGTCCGGCGGCGACACGCTCAGCATCACCGGTCGTCCGGCGGCGACACGCTCAGTATCACCGGCCGTCCGGCGGCGACACGCTCAGCATCACCGGTCGTCCGACGGCGACACGCTCAGTATCACCGGCCGTCCGGCGGCGACACGCTCAGCATCACCGGTCGTCCGACGGCGACACGCTCAGTATCACCGGTCGTCCGGCGGCGACACGCTCAGTATCACCGGTCGTCCGGCGGCGACACGCTCAGTATCACCGGTCGTCCGGCGGCGACACGCTCAGTATCACCGGTCGTCCAGCGTCACAGTCCCCAGCGGCGATCGCCGCGGGACAACATGCTAGGCCGGTAGACAGGCTGGCCCAGTACATGACCGTCAGCACACAGCCGTGGACGAGCGCTGCACCGACCGAGCTAAGCCTCGCCCACATCGGTGTGCGATATCTGCGCAAAACACAGGGCGTTGCTAATAACGCGGAAAGCAGCTTGCGGTCGGCTGCAGAGAGACCACTGACAGTAATCGGTCTTATAAATGGCTGTCCAATGACCTGACTACAGCACTGCAACGTACAAAACATAACCCGTGCAGAGATGAAAACATCAGTGAGGGAGCTAAGCAGTCGTTACCGCCTGTACACTCTGGACCTACCTGCCACATTGCCGGCATCTTCTAAAGTCTGGCCCCACAGCGCCACCACGCGGAAGCCCAGGGAGCGCAGGTGGGGCACCACTGCCTCCAGCAGCTTGCCCGTGCCGAAGACACCGACCCCGGGCAGCATGATGGTGTCAACAAGTCATGACCTGCGCAGAAATCATCATAGCACAGACGGACACTCAACACGAGGGCCTCAAACGGAATGCATGGCGTGAAACAAAAACAATGGCTCTGGCCACTTCTTAGAACAGCCCTTGAGTGGAAGTGTGATATGAGACTGCTTCACGGGAAATTAGATACCACTTTAACACGCGTATGGGTGGCCGGTTGCATGCGACAGGCTGTAGTGAAGTGGGCGGGAGGAGGGGGAGGGAAGTCACCTTAACCACATGAGATGTCAAACGCTGAGAGAACCGGACACTAAATTCACGGAGAACGTCGGCATGTGCGTGAATTCCCTTGTGTCCAACTTACAAATCGCTAGGTCATGACTTATGGGTCAAATAAGGTAGGTCAAGGTCAAGGTCAAACTCAAAAGGTCCGTGGCCGAAGCACCTCCTCATGTGACAACCTTTACCGCAGATACCGGTTCTAAGCAAAAGGTAACTGGTGTTCATGGTAGGTCAGTGGCCTTAATTGATCTTTAGGTCACAGTGACCAAAATGCTACAATATTTTTATTTTTCAAATTTAGATGTGCATGATGGTACATTAAGCAGCATGTTTTTCAAATGGTCTGTTGGGTCATTCTAGGTCAATGGCCTCATCCGACCTTGGAGAAGTCCACATAAGACATCTCTTGACATCCCTGTGATCACAAAATTTGAAATGAAACATACTATGTGCATCACATGATGCAGCTAAACAATGACATATTGAGGAGCATATTTACTAAAAAGTGAAATTGTGCTGTCTTGAACAGTATTTTCCACAAAAAGTACACTAATAGTGAGATTATCTTATCATATCTGATGCTTGCTTCAACATCTTCAAATGTAGAAAATTCCCTTTAGCCAGGTGAGCATGGCACTTCAGATCTCAGTCTTGCAGCACTGCCACCTGGGGAAGCCCTTCTCCATTAGCTGCAGTGAAATGGCACACCTCAATAGTTGCAGGCAGGACTGCAGAGCTGGGGGGGGGGGGATCTCAGTTGAGGTCAGAATGATGACCTGATGCACCAGCAGAGGACATCAGAAGCCCACTATGGCAGGGAAGGAATCCTGCCATTCATACATGTATGTATGGTATGGTGTGGATGTGTGCTTTGAATGAAAAACATGTGTGTTCATTGAGCCAAATGATATAAAATGGCCTAACACAGACCACTGCCTGGCCTTCAGACAGAAGTGCATTCTGCCTCTTTCTCATCTGGCCTACCTCAGGTCAACCAATAGGCAAAACATGTGAGGGAAAACAAGTTGGCAACAAAGCTCTGCATGACTTAAAAACCACTGTCAAGTTGTTTTGTTTGAGTGCATCTCTTTGCACATGAGAAAGGTGCATTCAGCTCTACTTTCCTTTCATCTATCAACATCTCACAACATTTGGTTTTAAAGTGATGGGCAGGTGTACATAAGTTGTTTGGGAAGCCTCTTTTGAAAGATGCAACAATTTGTGCATTCATGAATATTTAGGCTGGCATGAAGTTATACAGCACTTTTTACCAAGCTTTTGATCCCCAAAGCATCATGCTATAACACACAATAAAGCCTCTTAAATGCAAAGGTGGACTTTTGGGGTGAGAGGTAAAACATGGCTAGCATGTATTTCAAGGTCAACAGGGGAGGGTAAAAATGACATTTCTGGATTTGGAAGAGAAAAAGACACTTTTGCTTAAGGAGGTTGTAGCAGCTTGAACAGCCCTAAGCCCAAGTGAACATGCCTAAGGTAAGCTAAGAGTAAAATCTAGTAAGTTTTTGAATGTTAGGATATCTGTTTTTAGCATCTAGATGACAACACTGACCATCCAGTCAGCATTGTCAATTCCCAAGGTGACATTCTTGATTCAGTCTTCCCTGCCTGCCAGTTGTCATCAAATGTGGCACTCTGTGACAGTCTGAGGAGATATTCAAAAGCAGCACCTTAGCACAGCACAACATGCTCAAGGCCCCAAAACTGGATGCGATTAGATGATTGCTCCAATTCAAAACTAGTGTACCGGAAACTGAACTCCAATTTTTATCAAACCAATTGCCTTTTACCAATTGATGTCAGCCAGTATGCATGTTTGGGATCCCACACCTAATGCCTCTTGAGCTCACTAGCCTGTTTGCATATAAAACACACATGCTTAGGGCTATCTCATAAACAAGTACTTTGTAGACATGATAATCTGACATCACATCATTTGTTTTTCATTATTGTAGGTGCAGTGCAGTCTTCTAATATGGACAACATTATTCTTAAGAAGAGTTTTAAGTTCCATTACCATGAAATAAGATCCTTCTCCCACAAAGCTGCTGCACCATTAATGCAGATTTCCTCTTGATGACCCAAGTTAAACATAAACCAATACCTGTGAAGTGACAATGTCCAAATGTGCAGAAGCATAGACTGTAGTCTGCAGTCTGCAGCCTGGAATGTGCTCAGCCTTATGCTTACACACACCAAACTCTAAGCAGGCCAAAATGCACTGGATTGTCAACTTATTTTGGGGTGAAAAATGTGTTCAGAATATTTAAGCCTGAAACCAACTCGACAACATCAAGGTTCCTCCACACATTGACCTTCTAAGCCTTGTACTTGGTGGAAAACATGCACCAAACTCTAGGCAATCACATTAAGGGTAAGCAGCTGCTGTAATTGTTGCTGCTATCCTGGACATCCTCTACCTTCCAGCAAATCATGCACGTCATTAGCCCTCTTTGTCATACACTCAGAGTTAGTCATTTACCATTGAATCAAATCGACAATCCCTGAGCACACATTCACCAGTTTTCACAAATTCAACACGCAAAATCGCCACTTGGGAGCCTGATGCCTACCCCAGGGTTTATGCTTCTGCTTCACACGACGGAACCATTCACGGTTGACCTAACCACGACAGCCATACATAGGGCCCTGAGCGACAGAGAAGACAGGTTGGCTTAGAGCATGCCTATTATGCTAACCTAAGGCATAGACTTGGGGGGGGGGGCAAACGAGGTGAATGTAACGTGATATAAGGCGACACCGACCATATCTCGACGTTGTACGTGATCTTGCGGGTGTGACAAATCAGCAAGCGTGCCATCGATTCACTCAGTGAACTTCTTACAGACACCATTCGGCGTTTGGTCATAACACACGTAATCAAGAACCCGTCACACCATAATCGCCTCTCATTACCGATATGTTGTTCACGTGCACAATTCAATTTCTTCCCGAATACAATATCTTTCCGGATACAGAACACAATTGGAAAAAAAAATGTTGCTGAGAAGTAGATTTTAGCGAAACTCTCTACATCTGTTCGAAATCCTCCCATGCTGCGACCATGTAAGCAAATAGCCAATGAAATCCGTTTGGGCAAAGTAAGTTGACGTCACTGTCTTCTAAAAAAGTCAGGCCAAAATATAATTATGTTCATAGGTTTTAGATGATTTGAACACCATGCTTTCTGAAAACGCGGTCACATGGATGTTTTCACGAATATCTTTTACACCAAACACCTATAAGCTTGCACTATGATGGCTCTACGTCACATGCATATCGCCCCCAGAAGTTTGCGTTTTTAATTCCGAACACCGCCAATTCTCCCAAACAACAGCATTAGTGAGTTATAGTGGCGCAATGCAGACAACTGCGAAGCATTCTCGCGTGCTGCAGCTGGTGCAATAAGAGAGCTACCCTCTCTCGTGGAGGGGGCGTTGATCGATCGGGTCCCCGGGCACAGTTTGCCGTGCTTGGGCTCGAGGAGGGTGGGAAAGTGGTGAGAGCGCGTGTTGCGCACAAGCCCACTTCACATACTGCCGCAATGGCTGCTATGGCCAGGATGTTCTTGGCCTCGGTGTCGATCTTCTCGTGCTTTGGAGGTGGACGTCTGGAAGGTAAGCAATGTCCAAGGTTTCGCTACGATTTTCGTGACTGAATCTGTGCTTTGTGCTTGAATTGCTGGGATTTCGTTAGGGATTATGCTCCTGCAGATTTGAATTTTAATTGTTCGTTTTAGGCTGTCATGGAATTGTGGTTAGATATGTGCTATTTCCCCATCTCCAGACTTGATTAAATGTCTACATAACTAATGTCCAAAATGTTTAATAATCCTGGTTTTTGTTGTTCAAGCTGGGGTATGGCCAGCGTGCTTACAACATGTATGCACATTGGTGTGCTTGGTGGTTTTGTGACAGCATCCCACATAGGTTTTTTGTAGTGTGTCCTGACTATGCTTCATTTTCCCCATAGATGTTCTCATCCTCATGCACCTGATATTCTAACTCATTATCCACATTGCTTGAATGACATACATGTATTAGGTCAGCATTTCATGCACTCCTTTCTTGCAACCTTGCAAGGCATTGCAGGGGTGGAAAGCACCTTAACCACCACATGTTGTTCTTTTTATTGGTACAACATACTTATTTTAGATGCCCTTAGGCATGAACATGTTTCTCACTAGTGTACAATCTGGCCTATTCAACTCATCTATGTCATTCAGCAAATTGGGCCATCCAGCTTCCCACAATTACCTGTCCATTTCAACGCTGTTTCCCTGGGGATGCAGGATTTCACAGGGGTAGGCATTTTGGGCCAGAGAGGATGCATCTATCTCCACAGAGTAGATGTCAAAATATGACCTGGACATAGGCTGGTCAGAATTTGACCGTGAATCAATGGCTCATAGCATGTCTAAATTTTCATGTCTGGACTTTGCAAGTTACTTTTCTAGAGATAAAATTCATAGCAGAATTTCAGGCAGAAACATTTGGAAGCTTCAAATACTACCTGTAAAAACATGGTGACAAAGCCATTAAACTAGAGTTTTTTCTGCAAAAAATAAACTACAGATTGAGATTCTTCTGTCATATATTCTTTATTTAAGCCCTGCTCCCATCCGCCATCGGCAGCCACTACCCTGGGCCATCTGTCCCCCTCAGGACTGACCGCGAACTGACCGCATGGCTGCTTTGCTGCATAGTTATGGATCAGGGTTACTACTTATTTGTGTGTAAAAATGCATTGGACATCTGCAGCAGTACTCTTTTCCAAATTATCTTCGCTTACACGACGACACCTTAGAAAGAGCCTCCGGGAAGTTGCCTGCCTTAGGTACGAATTGGCCCAACGGACATTTTATTGCCCATCATTCACCGTAAACGACTTGATCTGCCTTTTTGTGCAAGCAGGGGCGTAGCCAGAGCCTGGGTAAAGGAGAACACAGGGTTCACAAAAGCCCCTCTTATGCCCCCCCCCCCCCCCAAATAACAAATCACCGGATATAGTTTACTTGTTAACAATGGATACGGTCTTCTTCGTGTCATTGCTATTTTTAGCTTGTAACTGGAACAGAAACAGAATCAAGAAGCTGCCGCAGGATCTATTGCCTGCATTTTGAAATCAGTAAGCTGCAAAACTTAGGCGTTGAACATCTGCATGACATAAATTACCGGCACTATTGATTTACAATGGTTCAATAGACTCCTGAACCGATAAAAATTCAGAAGCCTTGTCAGATTGTTCTTTATGGGTCTACAGCCATATTAAGGGCGTAATGAAGGTAGATCGTAAATCGAAATGTGCCAAAAAATGTGTATTAACATGGCCGAACCATGCTCGTCTGGAAATGTCCAACACTCAGTCAGAATCGATTAGCAGCACAACTCTTTAATCGGTTAGTGATACAAATTGTGTAACGTAGTTTTGGCTACGCGCACCCGCAAATCTTAGCAACAAAAACCAGGCGCCAGGCGTTGCAGCCTCCGGAGGCCGCGCAGCGTCGGCCCAACGGCTTTCATTGAGCTGTGAGCAGCGGGCGGACAAAAATCGTGACGCTTCTGAAAGAAATACCTCTGAACTCTTTAGGAAATGAAGACGCTTCTAAAAGAAATACACCTGAACTCTTTAGGACATGAAATATTACCTTTAGAAACTAGTATGGACGTATATTTCAATTGTGCGATTGATTGGTAATAAGATCGAACCGGTCCTTGCAGCACCGCGAAGTGGTGCTGAAATCTGGTGGTGGAACTGGAAGAGTAAAGGTATATTTTTCTATTTGTCGTGTTGATTTAGCTACTAATCGGACAAACTGATCATGGCGGCCGCCTCCTGGTGTCACTTGCAGTGGCCAACGCCGTTCGGTTGTAGGGAAGCTGCAACCCAGGCCATCGCAATCCTTGCGCCGGAGATTGCGGGCGCGCATGTTCAAACCTTTTGATGTAATATGTTCCATTCATCGATTCTGCAAAAGAATGGACGTTCTCAGGAAAGCATAGGATGACCTTGTTAGTCTTTAAACTAATTTCGACCCACTCTTTTCAACAATAAAGAGACCCCTCGTTTTCGTCCTGGTTAGGGGCTCCTTGAGTAGAATACTAGGGGCACATTACCGCTCCCGGTCAAGGGCTCAGGGGCCATTCCGTTCCATCGGTCAATGTCAAGGGGTCAAGGGCTCAGGGGCCATTCCGTCATATCGCGACGTATGTCCCGGCTGCCATTCTGGCGTCACGTGGCAGGATCCCCTGGTTGATCCGGAGGCCTTTGCAGGGACACGTAATAGCACATTGTTGTCCCCAATGACGCGTGAGGCCTTCTGACCCGCGCAGTTGGCCCCGGATCAACATAAGAACTTCCATTGACGCAAAAAACATCCCTGCTCGCTGCGAGTGGTCCAATAATTATCACATGGACTCCAATTCCAGATTTTTTTCTGTTTTTTTCAGAGATGTAGAGGGCCCCGTGAACGTAGATTATAGATCGAAGTTGGGTTCCAAATTTGTATTGGCATGGCTAAATCATGTTTGTTTTAAGATGCTTTGCCTTAAGTCGGGATGAACTGCTGATAAAAATAATGTAACATGGGTTTGAACATGCGTACTCGCAAGTCTTAGCAACAACAGTCTCGACGCCTGGCGTTGCAGTCTTCGTAGGCCACGCGGCGTTGGCCCTGCGGCTGTGATACTAAGTGATGGCCGATGGGCAAATGAAAAAGATGACGCATCTTCAGGAAGATGACTGGTGAACTAAGCAAATCGGCACGCATGTTCATAGTTGTAAAAAGAAGGAAGAAAGCTAAACGCAACTTAGATCTTAAGAGTGTGGGGGGGGGGGCATGCTGCCTCCTACCTTGAAAAGTGGGGGAGGGGACATTAACCCCCTGCCCCCTCCCCCCCCCCTTGTTCCTATATTCATGGGTGGGTACGTCAGGTTCCTTTTCTGCTTGACTGCACCTTTGGTCGTGTCAAGCCAGACAATGTACAGACTGGTACAGAAGTGGTGAAGAGGAACTCGAAACACAGTTATTGAGTGCCAAGACAGGTGTTCTAACCAACTGAGCCATAGACACCCATTCATCAGACGGACATCCGCATTCATCACCAGACACCCATTCATCATCATACCAAACGTCAGTATTTGTACCATTTTATCAGCCTTTAATGATGTTCCATAACACCATGCAATTAATGTATGGCACCCATCAGATCCTGTCCGGCGTGGGGTTGAGGCAGGGTGCCCATCATCGTTGGCAATTTCATAAGTATTCGTCAATAGTCTGGCCCCATGTCATAAGTCATCTCACGGCATCAGCTTTTGCTGCACCCAGATGATTGACTTTCCCATCAGTTATCAAATTGTAATAGCGCCCCTGGATCAAGGGTCAGGGCCCTTGCACCCATGATTGATAAAAAAACACTTTTAAGCTCGTTGGAAAAATGTAGACATTTGTTGCCTTAGTAAGTCTCAGAATGTCTGTTCCGATTTCAAGGGAGCAACTGGTGCTAAACTGAAAAACTTAGGCTAACTAACTAAACTTACTGACTAAACTAACTAACTAAACTGCTAGTAAAACACTCTCTTTACTTATTTCCAACCGGATGACATGTTTTTAAAGCTGGCGGCCCCCTGTGTTATTATGTTTGTCACAAACGTACACATGCACGACGGGAATGTGTAGCAAGAACATTTTTTAACGGAATTCGTGTGATTCGGCGGGCATCTATTGCGCTCCGCCTCCGAGCTGTAAGAGACAGGAGGCTACCCTACAATAGGACGTTATGGACGGAAGATATCCTACTATAGGACGTTATGGATGACCAGGACACGCGGTGATGATCAAAGCAGTCATAGAGATAGGCGACTGCATTGGTTTGAATAGGTGGGATCGGATAAGAGAAAAGCTGCTGACCGGTAGATCAGCATAGATATAAAAAGCATAGAGATAGGCGACTGCATTGGTTTGAATAGGTGGATCAGATAAGAAAAAAGCTGCTGACCGGTATGACCATGTTTTTATGACCGGTATAAGGAAGTTTGTGTTTGCGTGCATTTTATATCTACTTGCAGCATCCCCTCCGGACGCAGATGGTGTCTTTCTACCACCAGTCGTCGGCGCATTACGCCGCCACATTTTCGAAACGGTAGATGTTAACAGAGACGTTTTGGGAGATGTATATATACCGCTTCGTGATTCCCAAACTCACCACAGCATGGCCAAAGCAGAAGCGCGACCGGTTAGGACGGGTGCCCGTTCTATCCCCCGCCAAACGGATATCAGCACCGTGTCGTTACTGTCTAGGGTGGCCATTGGTCAATGTGTGGGCCCGGTTTGGGCTCGTGGCAGGCAGTTTTACGAAGTCTGCAAGCTTAATGTCTTCCATGTCGCGACAAAAAGGGAGGATGCATTTTTCTTTGGGATTTGAGCCTTACGTAATTTTAGCCTGCTGCGAAGACCCTGACCTCTTCGCGCCAGAAGATTGCTAGCGTGCCACTCAGCGCCACGACCCCCCCCCCCCCCCCCCCCCCCCCCCCCCCCCCCCCGGTAGGGAGAGAGACGAGAGAGAGCGTGTGGCGTGGGTGTTGGTCAGTTGTCAATCGACCGTCAGGGACGACC